ACTAAGCCTTTGACTTTTTCTGGGCTATAATAAATAACTCGCATAAATTTGTACCTATCTATAAATATCTTTGATAAGTTGCAATTGCTAATTCTAAGAAACGCTATCATGCTCTAGACAATTAAAACCCTTGAAAAGGTACGTTTTGAATAAAATAAAATACATTTTTGAAGTAAAAAACTTTTTATCATATTTTGCGACTTCTGTCTCGATTGGCCAGCAGCCGTAAAAACAAAGTTAAAATTTAAAAAGGTAAATGAATACGATTTTGACCTGAACTCTGATTTGACTGCACATATTTGTTCGATTCGAGCTAAAAGACCAAGTAGTTAGATCCTGCGGATCGTTAATACTTGAGATTATGAGTTGAATAGCATGATGACATCATGATTTAAGTAGCATGATGACATTATGAGTTATGTAGCATGATGACATTAAGAGTTAAGTAGCATGATGATATCATCAGTTAAGTAGCATGAAGACATCAAAAATTAAGTAGCATGATGACATTATGAGTTATGTAGCGTGATGACATTAAGAGTTAAGTAGCATGATGATATCATCAGTTAAGTAGCATGAAGACATCAAAAGTTAAGTAGCATGATGACATTATGAGTTATGTAGCGTGATGACATCATGAGTTAAGTAGCATGATGACATTATGAGTTATGTAGCATGATGACATCATGAGTTAAATAGCATGATGACACTATGAGTTACGTAGCGTGATGACATCATGAGTTATGTAGCGTGATGACATTATGAGTTATGTAGCGTGATGACATCATGAGTTAAGTAGCATGATGACATTATGAGTTAAGTAGCATGATGACATTATGAGTTATGTAGCGTGATGACATTATGAGTTATGTAGCATGATGACATCATGAGTTAAGCAGCATGATGACATTATGAGTTATGTAGCGTGATGACATTATGAGTTATGTAGCGTGATGACATCATGAGTTAAGTAGCATGATGACATTATGAGTTATGTAGCATGATGACATTATACGAGTTAAGTAGCATGATGACATCATGAGTTAAATAGCATTATGACATCATGAGTGAAGTAGCATGATGCACGAGTACCGTATTATGCAAGATCAATACATTAAATATAGTGCATGCTTCAATCCAGGTTCCTACACGTGAATAATTCATACATCAAGAAATGTTCAACAAACACACTCATCTATTTTCGAACTCATTCTTCGTCAGCTTTTTATTGCTTCAACTCCTCCTAACATTTAATAAAGCCCTTTACCTCAGTTGCCCCTCCTTTTCTTCAACTTTCCCACCACCCCCATATCCCCCTCCATAGCCCTTCAACCCCCATTTCTCCCTCACCCCCCATTAGAAAGCTGGCTAAGAGGTAGCACTTTCTAAACCCCCGCTCAGCTGGCCAGCGCCACCTCGCTTAATTTATTGGCTTGAAATATCAACGCAAGTCCAAACTTTGCTCAAATGTAGCCAGGAATCAAGCTACCTTGTTTTGCTTCCATTCCTGGCAGAAATGTGTTTTTCATTTCCACCAATGAACTCGGAAATTGAAAAATTCAGCTTAATTTTCCCAACAAATATTTGATTCATAATAACAACTGACGTTTATATTCATCTGGTCATGTATGTATACATTTTGCATACAAATTCGTCGTATGTATACAAAATGGATACTTACAAATTTATCGTGTGTAACGCAGGTAAATCATTAAACGATATAATTGTTGTGGTCACTTCGTTGCCTAACTATTAATCGAATGCGAAAGAAATGCCATGGAAACTCATCAATCACAATTTTCGGCATCATCAAAAATTTAGTGAGCTTCCTGGCTTCTTCGTCGCTATGTATTTATCTTTCGACTTTTATTTTCAACAATCCTTCCCAAAATATATATATTGATATTTTTTCAAGCAAGGCAATCAACGAAGATCAATAAATTCTTACCAAATAATGCTAGAAAAACAATTTGAATTCGGCAGAAATTGACTAAATGATCGAAATAAATTCGCAAGAACAAGCCGAGTGGACGCGCGCTAGCTGCGACCAACTCAGCAGTAGCCTGCCGCTCGAGGTCGACCGGCCATAACCTGTTCCTCAGGAGCTCCAGTGACCCAAATCCGGTTGTGAACAACCATCTCAAACATCCATCAAACTTCAAATACTTGAATTCACATCAAACTAATTTCATATTCATCAAAACGCAACCGGTTTATCAATTAAATAATGTAAATATCCATGTTCTGCCATACAAGAAACGGGGCGCTGGATTGGATCACTACTTGTGGTGCGTTGAGGTCCCGTTATCGCCGAGCCTAACTTTCCTTTTCCTGAGCGTCCAGGAAAAAAGCAGAGCGCGGCCTTCAGAGGAGGATGGGGAAGGTGAGGTGGAGGAAGAAGGGGAAGAAGAGGCGTAGGAGGATGAGCGAGGTGAGGCGGTAGATGAGGAAGGAGAGGCGGAGGAAGATGAGGAAGGTGAGGCGTAGCAGGATGAGGAAGGTGAAGCGGAGGATGAGGAAGGTGAGGAGGTAGATGAGGAAGGAGAGGCGGAGGAAGAGGAGGAAGGGGAGGCGGAGGAAAATGAGGAAGGTGAAGCGGAGGATGAGGAAGGTGAAACGGAGGATGAGGAAGGTGAAGCGGAGGATGAGGAAGGTGAAGCGGAGGATGAGGAAGGTGAAGCGGAGGATGAGGAAGGTGAAGCGGAGGATGAGGAAGGTGAAACGGAGGATGAGGAAGGTGAGGCGTTAGATGAGGAAGGAGAGGCGGAGCAAGATGAGGAAGGTGAGGCGGAGGATGGGGTAGGTGAGGCTGAGGAAGATGGGAAGGTGAGGCGTAGGAGGATGGGGAAGGTGAGGCAAAGTCACTGCCTCAAATGGGTACTAAAAAGTACTAATTAAACTTCTCGGCCAATTTATCGCCATTCAGGATTGTGGAGAAATATTCTCCATATTATAAATAATGGAACGTTGGAGTACCGTCTGAAAATTCGCAGTTGACATAATGCAAATTTGTAATTCTAACCACCCCTATGACGCTAAATTTAGAATATTCAAACTGATAAACTGATGATGACATTAGTACATACAAACGGATAATTGAACGTATCTAGCATTTGAACGTAAAAACGCATTATCTAACAGATGATAACATTGGAGTTTATAAACACATTAGTTGGATGATGATAATATCGGTTGAGAATTTCCACAACAGATATAAGGGAATGAAAAGAGGGATTAGGTACGGACAGATTTAACGGCTTATTCTAGAATAGTTGAGTTAATGACCAATATTATCAGTTGATGCAGTGAGAGTGTAAATTATAAACAATAGCTTGGATTTATCGCAAAGGTTGGGCCAAACAAAGGACTCAGTACAATAAATACGCCGTGATATGAATGGTCATACATTCGCCGTGGTATAAATGGTCGCCGTGGTATGAATGGTCTCTATTAGTTAAAGTTTGTGCTTGTCTTTGAGGCCTGGCACTGAAATTTATAAGGGCTGTTGTGCCGCGTATCGGGGAAACTTAGGCTCGATTCACACCATGAACTTAGGCTTGATTCACACCCATGTTGCCGGGCACGGGCCAGGCGTATGCCAGTCATGGGCCAGGCGTATGCCAGTCACGGGCCAGGCGTATGCCAGTCGTACGTATACCAGTCACGGGCCAGGCGTATGCCAGTCGTATGACAGTCACGGGCCAGGCGTATGCCAGTCACGGGCCAGGCGTATGCCAGTCATGGGCCAGGCGTATGCCAGTCACGGGCCAGGCGTATGCCAGTCGTATGCCAGTCACGGACCAGGCGTATGCCAGTAACGTATGCCAGTCACGGGCCAGGCGTATGCCAGTCGTATGACAGTCACGGGCCAGGCGTATGCCAGTCACAGTTCCGTTCATATCACTTGCCACCAGTCACGCAGCATTGCCAAATAGTATTTTACGTTACCAGATTTAACACACCTGGTATGCGGAGTTGGTATTTGACATGGATATTTTCAGTCCGGTATATTTGCAAAAATCTGGTATGTTTATGGTTTGTTGAGCTGGCAATCAAACTATAATCGGAAAAAATAGCAAGCACCTGAAAATTTGTTATTAGTAGCAGAATAGGATTGGAGGGGAAGACTATATCAAAAGTTAAAATTTTGATTGGGTAATTGGCAGAAATGAATTAAATTCAAAGAATTCTAATTAATTTTTTTCAGATTCTGAAAAATGAGTGTAATCGGAGTCCTATATTTTACGTAAAATGCGGGTTTGAAGGTGTCTTTATATCAATAGAATACATAAGCTTTAATATTATTAACTGGATGAGAATTTACGGGATTGGTAGAATAGGGATTTACAGGATTTTAAAATTGCAGGAATTAGCAGTCCCGAGTAACGCCGGGCAGAACTGCTAGTTCACCTTATATGTAGAAAAATGTCCATGAAATTCAAAAGACACATTAATGGAATGGAAAATTACCAGACGGGTTTACAATCTGGAATAAAACTTTTGCGTATTATTTATAACTTCAGACGAGCACGTATTCTTTATATAACCCCCAACAATTGTCAACCTACGTATAACCTGGATACTACTACAGAATATACGGAAAGATGTTAGAAAAATATTGTAATAAAAATACCATAGAAAACGAAGATATTGCGGAGAGATAAGATTTTGCGTAGAATACTATCCAAGATTATCGAAATTACATCCTTGTTAATTACAATAAAGTTGAATAAAACCCATCTCTTTGGCTACTCTCGCCTATATATAGATAGCTTCCCAATATGCATTCAACAATACAACATACATTTAGTTTAATAGTTCATTTCCGGGATAGATAATTCAAGAGATTTCAAACCTGTATTCCTTATTCAAAAAGGAATATACAACACAAAATAATAGAAAATTATGATTTAAAATTGACAGAATTTGCAATTTTAATTTAAACATAACTCTTAGCATTACATTACAAATTAAATAACTTCAAATGCATGTCAACTTACCACAACGATCACGCCGTTGTTGGGCCGTAGAGGCGCCATCACAGACCTGCACTTCAGACGCAACCAAGCCTCCGCATGGTCAAAACCCGTATTTTGGCTTCAAATGATAATATATTTGCACAGAAATACCCAAGTGCTCTTATACACGTAGAGTCGAGGGCATGTTTTATGAAAATTTCAGTATACTTTACACTTTGCACAACACACGTCACAGTATAGCCGAATGCAGAGCTCTCGCAACGATCCCCCTGCAAATTGTACACACGGCACTGAATACCAAAACTTCTGGAGATTTCAAACCTACAAACGGATTAGACAGATACTTCAAAATAATTTGTTCACCGATTCAAAACTTTATTTTCCTGCGTGGATACATATTAATAACAGCGAATAGTTAATATTTGCTTGCAGCCGGGGGCTGCCTCTCGATAATTTTTCCTTCAAATAAGTGCTGTATAATAATAATACTAAATAAAAAATTGCGATACGAGAGTTTATCTCTGAAGAAACGAATGCAGCGCATCACAATTTTTTAACGCGACAGAATGCAAGCTCATCAAAATTTTGTAAATACGTCAGAATTAAGAGAATCGAAATTTCTCACTCGTTTATGTCCTCAAGTTTAAAAAGCATAAATATCATCCTTATTAAAAAATTACCTCCATTATGTTCTTAATAGTACAGCGGCAAGTTTATTATTAATTAATTACCTAGTGATGAATGGATGCCTCTCAATTTTACATATAAAATGCGTCATACTGGACACGTTCATGTACGTCAATACATCCATTATAGCAATCGTTCCAAGATTAGGTTTACAGTTAATTCGGGATTTCAGTTGCGTGTGTGGGTTTGAACTTCCATCATTGCTTTCTCTAATTGACCTGTCGATGCTATCTTCGAACTTTTTGGCAGCAGAAATAAAAGCTTAGAATATATTTTAAGTTCGCTTTTATGAAGTTTCGCTCCTTTAATAAATAAATATCGCACTACGGAAGTCTGCCCAAAAACTAGTCCTCAGTATTTCACGTAAATCATGCATGATGAAAAGATAAATCATTTGTATAAATAATTAGGAAACAGACAATTTAACTGTGCATGTAATAATTAGGAAGAACATGAATGAACTCGATTCATGTTCTTCGTAATGGAATGGAAAATTTGTTCCATTTATGAAAAATTCAACAGATTCATCAGTGATATGATGGGAACGGAAGATGAAATAGGTCTCGTCAGTGGAATCGATAAAACTCTGTGACTATTTTTATTGTTACAACTTATTTAACATTAAGTTATAAAACCCATTATCAAATTTAACCTTGCGTGAGAAAGCAAACATGGTCGCCTCAGCTTGAACAGCTGAACGTAATCCATTGTATTACACGTCGCAACTGTATTATTGAAACGGAATGCGCTTGGAGCAATGATTTTTTTTGCAAACGGTCGGTTAGTTCTGAATTATAGGAGTCTTAGGGTTTATTTTGATGAATGATTTGCCTCCGTTAACATTGTCAATGCAATTCGTACCTAAACGATTGTTGCCTACATGTACAGTAGGTAGGCAGAAGGTTAATCTTTCATCTACAGATAAATTTACCTATGCAAATGATATTCGTACTTAAAGGCCAGGGCCTATATTTTCAAAAAAGTCAAGAGATCGTAAGTTAATCAGACATTCATTGACGGCCATTTCAAGCAAAATCCACCAATCATAGACAAGAAAATAGAGCGTAAATACTTACGTTAACTTAGCGAATTTTGAAAGTATGGCCCCAGATACCGAGAGTTGAAATTTAAGACCTACAGAAACATAGAATGGTTAAAATATTTGCAACATCGAGGTAGATCCATTACAGAAAATTACTGTCGATACTTAGGTATCAGAACTGATTCGTAACTGTCGGTTTCCCGTATTCGAAGTCGAAGATATCAGTCAAGAGCTACGTTCATTTCACCACAACCATCGACCAGCTGTTATTTCTATAATTCGCGTTCTGCTGACACAAATTCTTGATTTAAAGCAAGATAAGCTTTCGAAACGGGAACAGAACGGGAGAAAATCACATTTGGACATGATATTGTACTAATATTTAGAAAATGGTTGCCAAAGCAGTAAATATTAGTCAATTTATTGAAGAAGTACACCTAACCCACCCTAAAGTTCTCAATTTCCTTAGCTGAACCAATCGCAAGACTGACTTCGGAACACACGAAGTTACGATTAAACTATCAAAATGCTCCCCGGGAGAGACGGTTGAATTTGACAAAGCTGTCGATACAGTCCCCAGAAAGGACGGTTGAATTTGACCAAGCTGATGATACAGTCCCCGGAAGGGACGGTTGAACTTGACCAAGCTGTCGAAACAGTCCCCAGAAGGGACGGTTGAATTTGACCAAGCTGATGATACAGTCCCCGGAAGGGACGGTTGAATTTGACCAAGCTGATGATACAGTCCCAGGAAGGGACGATTGAATTTGACCAAGCTGTTGATACAGTCCCCGGAAGGGACGGTTGAACTTGACCAAGCTGTTGATACAGTCCCCGGAAAGGACGGTTGAATTTGACCAAGCTGTTGATGCAGTCCCCGGAAGGGAGGGTTGAAATTGACCAAGCTGTTGAAACAGTCCCCGGTAGGGAGGGTTGAATTTGACATGCTGTTGAAACAGTGCCCGAAAAGGAGGGTTGAATTTGACCAAGCCGTTGAAACAATCCCCGGAAGGGAGGGTTGAATTTGACCAAGCTGTTGAAACAGTCCCCGGAAGGGAGGGTAGAATTTGACCAAGCTGTTGAAACAGTCCCCGGAAGGGACGGTTGAAATTGACCAAGCTGTTGAAACAGTCCTCGGAAGGGAGGGTTGAATTTGACTAAGCTGTTGATACAGTCCCAGGAAGGGACGGTTGAATTTTACCAAATTGTTGATGCAGTCCCAGGAAGGGACGGTTGAATTTTACCAAACTGTTGATGCAGTCTCCGGAAGGGACGGTTGAATTTGACTAAGCTGTTGATACAGTCCCCGGAAGGGACGGTTGAATTTGACCAAATTGTTGATGCAGTCCCAGGAAGGGACGGTTGAATTTTACCAAACTGTTGATGCAGTCCCAGGAAGGGACGGTTGAATTTTACCAAACTGTTGATGCAGTCCCCGGAAGGGACGGTTGAATTTGACGTACTAAGCTGTTGATACAGTCCCCGGAAGAGACGGTTGAATTTGACCAAGCGGTTGATACAGTCCCCGAAAGGGACGGTTAAATTTGACTGAGCGGTTGATACAGTCCTCGGAAGGGACGGTTGAATTTGACCAAGCTGTTGATACAGCCCCCGGAAGGGACGGTTGAATTTGACCAAGCGGTTGATACAGTCCCCGAAAGGGACGGTTAAATTTGACTGAGCGGTTGATACAGTCCTCGAAAGGGACGGTTGAATTTGACCAAGCTGTTGATACAGTCCCCGAAAGGGACGGTTGAATTTGACCAAGCTGTTGATACAGTCCTCGGAAGGGACGGTTGAATTTGACCCGGTTTTACACAGCAAACGAGCGGTCCAACACCTCGACGGTAAGTGTGTCACCAGCAAAGTCAGCAGTGCAGTTTGCTGCCGAGTGTGAGCTACGTTTCCACTAAATGAACCATTAGAATAAATATACTTTTAAACGCAATATCATACTTCAAAAGCCCTACTCGTATTATCCATTGATATACAACTTCAATGGAATATTTTTGTAGCCATAGCAATATCATACTTCATACGCCATAGCTTAATTATGCATTGGATTGCGACTTCATAAAATATATTTGAGCTTAGATCAGTTGGCAACACACAGCTGTGTTCATACGCTTTCATCAAATCATCAAAATACAACATGATGAACATACCTAATTTACATTCAACGCAACATAAATTTTCATGTCACATTTTAATCAGGCATTAGTAACGTCGTTTACACAAAACTAACTCTTTTCCTGCTATTTGAATAGCATTTCGAACACTAATCATCACATTTAACGACGAATGCGGATAAACGAACGTTCAATCTGAACGAAATCCCATAAAGAGATTCGTATATTTTCCCTCGCAATCACTTACGCAGTTGAGGTAGGAATAGCAGATGAAGAGTGCGTCAACATGGGCAAAAAAATGTTTTTTAGCGCGTCTACGGATATCATTCTGCGTGCCTTTTTGCATGTGTAGACTTGCGCAGCAAACCTCCTACTTAGGACAGTAAAGTGCCAACATACAATCCAGGTAATAATAGCATCGCGAATAAGACGACTCGTATGTCAGCATTGTTAGAAAAGCGCTAAACCAGGATCCCGGTAGGAATAGCATAGTGTTCACACAGTAACAGATGTTGGCCACTATGGAATTCTAGGATAGTGCATAAAGTTTCTGTCAATTCTGGGCGGATGCATGTCCATCTTCAATCTGTGATTGATTGTGCTGTCATCCACTCCAGACTGTGATTGGCTGTGTGATGGCCTTTACAAAATACTATGTGCAGTTTTTTGTGCACTGGTTAATTTAATACCTCTCTAGAATTCCATACTGGCTGTCGGCATATGCAGCAAAGGTCAGGTAGAAATAACATAAAGCGCCTCGCAAGCACAGGCCCGGGCACTGCAGTTCGCTGCTCCGGGAGTCATTGACCTCCGAGATGCATCTGGGGGCTGATATGACGTCACCAACGGCGGCCAACTCTGCAATGTTGTTTATCATATATTTTGTTTCGGTGAGAAGTTTGGCCATGTCGTGACTTTGATCGCGTTTGTAAATTTAACCATAACTTTGGGTGGCGGTGATGAGTTGCGCCATGCCGTAACTTTGGTGGCGGTGGTGAGTTGGGCCACGCCGTAACTTTGCTCGCGGTGGTGATTAGGGCAATGCCGTGTAACTTTGGTAACATGGGCCATGCGCGGTGGGCAGTTGGGCTACCCTTCTTACCACCGCGCGGTAACAAAGGATACTCAATTGAGATGAGATAGGTACTCAATTGTTTCCTAATGCTCATTCAGAATACAAAAGAGAGTTTTTGAGTACAGTAAAAAAAAAACAAGTCCGAAGATGTCACTCCACGAGGCCCCCGAGTTTGAATTCCGTCAGACTCGAGACGTATAAAAGTTAAAACCGACGTAAAATTGTGTATTACCTCGATTAAAAAAATACAATGTAGATAAATATTAAATAACTGTATCCGGATGGGAATAAAGTTGAGAAATACAGAAAAGTTTAACATGTTAAACATGACATAATGACAGATATTGGGAAACACGTCACGATCAGAACGTGATCCACACATCTCGGTCCACGGCAATTCTTCAACGATTTGGTCTTTTTAAATTTCCCTATTGTTTCAGTTAAAGTTGGATATATGACAGGGACAGTATTTGAAATGAACCTTAACAACCTTGCTTTCTTACGTAACTTACGTTCAATTGCATCACTGACGTCCATGTCGTACGTACAATTTTATATACAATTTATAAACAAACGATGTATAAACAATTAAATATGATATAAAATACAATGTATAAACAAACGATCGTATTGAACCAAGTTTACTCAAAAATTAGACACGATTAAAATTATTACATTTTAGATTAAATTTTACTATAGAACGAACAAAGTTCAGCACACATGAGAAAGGGGAATTAGTAATAGAAATTGCCACGTTTACTCAAGCATTGACCCAGGACTTATCGAGATAAGAGAACTAGGTAGGTAACAGTAACGTGAATACAGTCCGACAAATCTTTCCTAGTTCATCGTCCAAAAACGCGTGCAACACAGGTAACCGAGTTATCGAACTATTATCATGCAAACGAAGCGGAAAAAAACTCCTCCAGAACCAAAATAATTTCCAAACTATCGAGTTTTCTCTTTATGAAATTTTACGTTATGCATGGTATGAAATACCGAATGCAGAAGCCTATTCTTTTTTTTAATTCAAAATTGTGATGTGCAGTACCGTAACCACGATCTGGCAAGTCATCTCACTGATCTCAGGCGAGCAATTAAACGTTGAACTAAAGCATTTTCGTTAACCTGACACTAATCGCTAAATACTTGGACGTTCCAGTGGTATACAAGCCACTCTTCATGTCAACACCTACTGTCTTAGTCCCATAATCCAGGAAAACACATTAGCCTATTCGCATTGAACAGCACAATATTTCGATAAATTGATGTAAACTAAATGGCTTTGCATTCTAGAGGCAGAGTTCGCTGAACTCATTTTTGATAAATAGATCAACGAGGCAACACGTCGCATCGTGTAGAAAGTTCATCAACCTAGTAAGATTTTCTCTCTCAAAGCCAGTTCTGGCGACGGCCGCGCAACCCTAGCACACCTCTCATCACGAAGTCATGCGCAAAACTGAAGGCAACTTAGGCAAGAAGACATGATGCCATCTGATCTGATCAGCCATGGACAGATAGTTAGTATTGGTTACTCATGGTTTGGTCTTCAAACTACTAGTGGAACTGCAAGTGGTCCGATGAAAGTTGATTCTCTCAGCTATATATAAAAGCAAAGATCATGCAACTGCTGATCGTGTATGTAATAGTAAACTCTAGCGCACCGTTTCGTATGAGAGCTCAGAGCCAACATGCCTACCAGCTTTTAATAGTTAGCCCATGCGGCGCAACGTTCATTTCTCTTTACTAAATTATTTAAAACCTTTGAGGAAATGCTTAACTTCATAGTGGTAGCAGGTGTGTAATAAAATCTCGTAAAATTCAAATGATTCACTTCGTGTGCAAGAAAGGCCTGAATCGATGGTAAATAGTCGATAAAATGAACGAAACCTCATAAATATTGAGAAAAGAAATTTGAAATCGTTTTAGCATGTTTAAATTAAATTGTATTTGATCCTTTCTCTATCTGAATTTTTATAATAATGAATGAAAATTAATTTTGATTGCCGCATTATGCGTTGGTCAGTGATAGAAGGAAGTGTAAATATCAATATTTTTATTCAACTTTTCCTTGCCCACGCCGACTAAAGTCCTATTCGTCGTAATGCTACTCCTACCTAAAGAGGAAGTTAGACCATTACTCAAATAAAGAAAAATTCCCGCTAGATTTACCGATGTTATTGTTAGCTTAATAGTGTAACCTTAGTTTACTCGTTCGCTCCATGCTATCCATAATAATTATCATACGAATTTCAATAAATCCTATCGGAGTTCATATTGTTCTATTTTTCGTAATATTATTCTTGTATGATTACCTTATTATTTACAAATATAGGCGTAGGCACTAAATAGAACTTGGATGATAACATTTACAGCTAATGAAAAATGAACAACTTAACATAATTTCACAACACATAGGATGTGGAATGCAGAATAAGGCTGACATTCGAACAGAGAAGACTTCTATCAGTCAAAGTCATGCTGTGGAACAGCCTCATCTCCAATCGCATCCGCTGCTTGATAAAGAATTGTTTTAAACGCACGAGATCCTCACCTTATGTAAATCATTGATAATAACAATAATGGTAGAAAATATTCTTATTATTATTATTATTATTATTATAGCTATTATTAATAAATATAATAATAGCAATAACGATAGTTATAATAACAATAAAAATAATAGTGAGAAGAACAGTTTCAGCGTTTTAATGGCCGTAGGCCTGTCGCCGATTCTTAACATTGCAGAATATTCACAGCTTGTTTGGGTCACTAACAAGCACCTCACCTTTCCAAATTTTGCTTCTCTTGGCCGCCCGGCGCCCGGCCTTCTCGCTGATTCTGATTTCTGACCAGAAACTGTGGCCCAAAACTGTGATCGAACCCGCAACTCTCTTGGTATCCGCCTCTCTCGTTTTGAACGCCCTGTCAAATCCACTCCATCTGCCGCCTGCCTCTTGCACCAATCTTGGTACTGACGAGTGACCTCGCAATTATCTATGCGCTTATCTTCAATCGGGCTCGCCAAGCTCCCGCGTATCCACGTTAGCCGCGTTGCTACGCCGCCATCTTTGTATCATACTGGCGCCTCCGCTTACTCTCTCGTTCCTACACATTTAGACGTTTTCGTAGCCATGGAGATAGAAAGAACAAAGTAGAAAGGATTAGGCTGCTGTCAATAACTCTTCCCTTCAGTGAGAGACCGATATTTAAGAAAATTGTTCAACATTAACGATGTTGATGCCAACGAAGTACCGGCAGAGCCGTGATGTACAGATTTTGCAGGCCTGCCTCCCGTTTAACACGGTGATTTACTAAACTATTTGGTGTTTGGTGGTCAGCCAATACACCTCGCAAGAATTCAAGGCATACAAGACGCTTGAAGCGCACAAACAATTTGTGGATAGATGGGTACAGGTGATGGAGAAACGAAACTTCAACGAATCAAGAAAGGCGATGTACTTGGTAGAATTAGTTTGGTAGTACAACTGGACGAAGATAATGATGCTGATGAATGAAACCTTCTAAGAATTGAAAATGAAATTCCTTTTCACCTTTTTGAACAGGAAAAGGATAGAAATTTATCAATGCTTACCAGGTAACTAGGGTTCGGACGGTTCATATAGTAATACCGATCCCGATATTGGACGCGCTCATGTGACACCTCAGACCACAGAACTGACCAACAACACACCAATTCACCAGAAACCTCGACATTTTGCAAAACCAATTTATATTGAAATTGAAAGGCAATGCGAAGAACTCGAAATATTTGATGTTATAGAACAAAGCGAATCATTTTAATCTGCCAACAAACCAGCCAACTGCAACAACACAATCATCGCTGCAGGATAATGGATCTTAACAATGTTATCTGATCTGTAAATATTATTACGTTTTATTCTTACTTATGTACCTTATCTAAAGGCAAGTAACAGATTTTGTCCCTGGAAAATGTATAGTATCGTATATAATAAATATTCATGGCTGGTAAACTGATATACGATACGTATATCAGTAGGAGCCATAAACTGATACGATATACACGGCATTCACGGCTAGTAAACTGAATAAACGCATTCCATTGTATAGTTTTCTGTTTAAATGGCCGTGAGAACGACTGGTACATCCTACAACGGTGCAGTAGCGTCCCATCTTCAAGCAAAAACTTCAAAAAGAGACGATCGCAGTAGATTTAACACGTAGGCGAAAGCTAGACCCTGCTACAAATATGGCGGCCGATCCCACAATGCATCTGGCAATTCGGTGCCGTGACGTCATCCTTTCGAGCCCGATAGATCGCATTGCAATGATTGTTGCGCTGCTCCGGTTGCTCGGCAAAGCTGCATCAGTCTGGACACGGATATCGAGCAAGAATAATTTCGTTGACGAGTTACCCGAATAGTATAGTGCAATGTCAACTCCAAGAATTTTCGTGGTGAGCTAAGTTGTATTTCCTATTATTATCATATAGTGATGTGAGTATGTGACTGTTGTCGACTTGTCGTCATGGTTCAACCATGGTTGTCGGCGCTAACGAATAGTAGGCCAGCTGTTGCAGGATGCGGCCTGTCGCCGATCCTTGTGCTTTTCGTGACTTTTTCACACGAGATCTAAAAACAGGTCCTATGACCGGATATTTTCCAAACTTACGATAGTTTGAAATAGCTACTAGACTTCCATCGGGCTCGATAAAGTGCTAGGCATTTTCAGTTTGAAAAAAGTGAATCACTATTATTATCGCGCTCAGCTGACTGCTTCCAGTCTCCGGAATTATTTCGTGCCTCGCTTATCCTGCGTGAAGGGCGAAGCCATTATTGTAGTATTAGTGATCTTTACACAGGGCAAAATCTGAAATATAGCAATAATAAACAATTTGAATTTCCTCTTGATTTCCTTCTCCTTGCTGTTTATAGTCTCCCTTTCTTCCTCTTTTCTACTAACAAATGAATACCTATGTGATGCGTGGCTGATGGCCGTTGCAAAGGCCTGACTCTGAAATGTCGTTCTTCTCTTCAGACTCAGAGTCACCATGCCCCAAATCCAAGGGATGTAACAATGGGTGAGATTGACCTTTAGCTTAGATTTTTTTATGTCGTTCATGGGATAGGTGGGTTTTCGACCAATTTAATGGAATGGGCTAGTGGCTACTCTGTGGCAGTGTAATCCTAGCTGGAAAATTATGCAGAAGCCACCAATGAATTGGACAAAAACACTCATAAATATGGCCAATTCCAACTGCCATGAGGCCTTTCTTCTGGAAAGGCCCTCTTTGTCACAGTGTCACCCAATTAGGAATAATGGGCAGAATTTTCCTGAAATTTTTAAAAAAAAAAACCGTTTCATTGGTATTTTTTTAATATAGCTATGAGCAAAAATTTCAAAATTTTTGTGATTTTCAATGAAGAAATTAGTCAATTGCCCTAGGAAGTAGTAACAAGTAAAATGGGCTTGGACTGAGACTGAGTGAAAGGGCATTTTTTTCTCATTCATACTTCGTAGCATAGCGCCGATGATAGCGGTACTAGTGAAGTTGGCACTGAAGAATAGGCCTGATGGTGAATTATTGGTGATGTGGCCTGTTGCTGATTCTTGTACCGTACCTACTACTTTTTGTGAATTGTCCATAGGAGATTATTTTACAGGATGATTTATCACTTCTAAATAATGCAAACCTCAGTATTGAACAATTTATTGTTTATAGTTAATTACAAAATTTCATTTTGGTTTTTTTCAATAGAAAATTGAAAAATTGCTCAAAGAAAGATGTTCAAATGTCATTGCTCCCAAATTTTATTGCTGTTTTGATTTGAAGAATTTAAAATTTTCCTAAAATAGATTGAAGTTTGAATATTATTCACTTGTGTTGAATATGGATTCTTGCACTTGCTTACTAGTTCATACCCAAATTTCTCTGTTCAGGTCACTGGTGCCAATAAAGGCATAGGCCTGGCCACTGTCAAGGCTCTGTGTGAAGCAGTTGGCAGCGAGTCCATTGTCTACCTGACAGCTCGCAGTGTTGAGCGAGGCACCAAGGCAGTGCAGGACCTTGCCAAGTCTGGTCTCAAGCCTCGATTTCATCCCGTTGATGTTGATGATGCCTCCAGCATTGAAACTTTTGCCACATTTCTCAAGAAGGAACATGGCGGTCTTGATGTTCTTGTCAACAATGCTGCTATTGCATACAGGGTAAGTCATGTATCACAGAATTTCAAATGTAATTTCAACTCAATTTATATATAGCTAATTTTATTAAAGCTAATGAGTGATAATTGTTTACTGATTTTTAAGCAGAGTGTATTGGCAACACCCTCTTTCTATGTGTGGATTGAAGCTTCACATTCTGTACAGGATGATGCTCCTGAACCAATTGAGGTGCAGGCCGAGCACACTGTGCGAGTCAACTACTTTGGGCTGCGAGCTGTTTGCAATGCTCTCTTCCCTCTCCTCCGGCCCCATGCTCGGTTTGTGATTCTTTGAAATTTGGACTTGGTAATAATTTAAGTATTAAGATTTGCAGGTGTTGGCATTGAGCAATAGGAACTTAATGACATTGGATGATAAGCATAAGTTATGCCAGTGATAAATTCTTGCTGCATCACTGATTCCATAAATGCATGAACTTGATTACTACCTATTCTATCAGCTTCAAGGTACCTATTTCTTTTCTACAGGATAAAAATGTAATCAAGTTGTTATATAGTAGAAATAAAACTACTGTACAGTTTTATTTCAAATCTGTAATTGAATTAAAATTATTTTTATTAATTATTAATTATCTACGTACTTGGTAAAACTACTGATGTTTTTAATTAGTACTAATAGGAAAAATATTTTTAACATGAAATAACAAAATTAGTAAAAAGAGTAGATTTGGCTTTTACTTTTGTTATGATTTGTTATGAATAAGTTTTGATCATTTATTACCCTCAGCCCTGGCTTGTATCATTTTGTAAACATGCAATTATTCTTAATTTATGTGCTCCTCGTTTTTCAGTTGATTAATTTTGTCATGTTCATATCCAGCTGTATGTATTTTCCCTCAAGTCAAAATTCAAGCTCAAAACCTTAAACAAATTTAAGCTTTAGATCAAGTTATCCTCGGACGATCCAAATTTAACCGGAGAATACAAACCAACCTGGTAACACTACCAAAAACCCTTGTCAATATATCTTTAAATATTTTATTAATATCAATTTGTGCTACAAACCACGTTGTAAGCTTGTGTCTTACGGTACTAATAATCATTTGATGTAGGCATTCAGTGGAGAACATACCTAGCCAATTTTTAGAACATTCTTGAATCATTTCTCTTGGTGAGAAATTATTTTTAAGTGACCTTTGAAAATAATGTCATTTTATTTCGCTGTTAAATGTTTTGGAAATAATTTTATCAATTAAAATCAACAGTGTGGTGAATGTGTCATCGGCTGTTGGGCATCTCTCTTGGGTGAACGGTGAGGAACTCCGCCGGCAACTTGCTGACCCGGCGCTCACGGTGGAACAACTTGACAACATCATGCGCGACTTTGTCAAGTGGGTTGAAGAAATCAAGAAATTATTGCAATAATTATATAAACACCCCTAGATGTGGGATGTATTGGGGTGATGTTTAAACACCTCTGACGATAGAGGTATTAGAGTAATATTTAAAACTCCCCTAAGATGTGGGAGGTATTGGGGTAATGCTTAAACACCCCCAGATGTGGAAGGTATTGAGGACTTGAGGTACCGTAATGTTCAAACACCCCCGGATGTGGATGTAATAGTTATGATATCTACCCACCTACATAACCTCACCTTGCCCTATAATGCTGACATTGCTAGGTTGCATAAGTTTGCATTGCGTCATTGTAGACCTTTCCAATGCAGAGCTGTTGCTGAGAATAAGCACGTGCAGCTGGGATGGCGGGACGTGAAATATAGACCTTACATGGCCAGCAAGGTGGGGGTGTCTGCGCTGACCAGGATCCAGCAGCGCATGCTGGACCAAGACCCGCGGGAGGACATCGTTGTCAACCACTGCCATCCTGGCTATGTCAAGACAGACATGACAGCGAACACGGTACATCAAGCAATTTTTTGTAGTTAAATAACTTTTTATTGATGTTTGTTTACTGTTTGGCAGAAAACGTTTTGCTTATTGTGCTTTATTTGAACGTGTACCCAATTGAATCGTGTACATAATTGAAACCTGTGCATAATTGAAACGGGTACCTAGTTAACTTGGGCATATACATACCTAAATGAAATGGGTACCTAATTGAATCATTGAATCATGTTTTTAATTAAAACGTGTACTGAATTGAAACAGGTATGTACCTAATTAAAACGGGCACCTAATGGAATAATTGAATCGCGTTTCTAATTGAAATGTGTACTTTAATGAACTGTGTACATAAAAGCAATGAAACCTCGTCAAGACCTTTATATTGCACATCAGAATACCTATCCTTGGGTAACTCATTTATCTGTATATATTATACCTACATACATTTATCTGTCAATAAATAAGTTTATCTTTCTGTACTGATTTAAAAACAGTTATAATTGTGTCAATGACCTGTATCGTTTGAATTCCCCCTAATATTGTGTCTTGGAATGTCAGGGAGTATTCACCGCCGAGCGGGGGGCAGTGTGCCCCACATACCTAGCCCTGCTGCCCCCCAACGTGGCCTCTCCCCGTGGGGAGTACGTCTGGCATGACAAGATGGTCCTCGACTGGGTGAACGCAGACCTGCCTCATCCCGGCTACTGAGCCCTCGCTACATGTGCTCCTTGGAGTGTGGGATGCCGTGACATGTTGGACGACGTGTGTGTCTTAGAGTGTGGGATGCCGTGACATGTTGGACGACGTGTGTGTCTTAGAGTGTGGGATGCCGTGACATGTTGTACGACGTGTGTGTCTTATAGCTGTCTCTTATACACATCTAGATGTGTATAAGAGACAGGNGTTCAATGATTTAGAGTGCAGTGTATCATTTCACTATACTGTGTTTCGCGAATGCGCTTTTAATCCAAATTTGTACTCGATCTCATTGTTTAATGTGGCTTTATATTATCGGGCTGACCTTTGTAACCTTAACCAACCCTGTGAACTGATACATTCCCGCTCTGCAACATCAACCCGCCATCACAGAACTGTTCACCGTGCTCACTGTACTTTACCTCACTCATACTTAGCGGAACTAACTAAACCTGCTGCTCTGTTATGTCCGCACCAGGTATCACACTTCGTGTATGAATTCCATTTAATACATTCCACTAAAATTTGCTCGTCGATGAACGACTTCTCTACTAGCGCACTCTTTGACAGCTCCTCTACCTGAGTTACGATTACCCGATTGTTTTCGGCAATTCTTCCTATTGTGATAATCCGACTGTGATTAGTGTGGCCAAACCATGTTCTGCAGTGTTGTTTACTTGTTACTCTTTGTATTTAAAATGAGGTAGATATAAAGGTTATGTAAATGTTACTATTTTTATTTGTTAATTTTATAAAGTGAACATGTTCTGTAGTTTGTCTGTTGATGATTTTTTTTCGGTCATTGACTATGTGGGAAGTTATATCATTCAAGTTTAATAATAGACACGGGAATTTCAAGTTGCATTGATTCTTCGATCTTTGCCCTATACGTAGTCATGTATGTTTGGAATATTAAAATGAATAAAATTTTAATTTTGCAATTATACTCTATCCTCGTCTTAACTTCCCCTCAGGGGGGACTTCTGACGCGTGTCTGTGCTCGTCAGAAGTCCTATGGGATTTCGCGCTCCTAGGGTGATTGTTCCTGAGCGCCCCACCGCTGAGCTTGCGGTGTCTGACTGCAGGTATCGGTTGTGGGGTTAAGTTATTATGTAGGTAGGATTCTTTACATTTCCCTTCTCTGTCTCTCTCGTGCGGGCGGCCGACGTCCCGTGAAAGCGACCTCTTGTTCGAGTGTCTTCGTTTCTGTTGCTTTTCACCTGTCCCTCCTTGTCATTTCGTCTCTTTCAGATGCTAACGCTGCTTCTTTCGAGCCAGCTTCAGCGGGCTGGACAATTGAAACCTTCCGCCCTTTGTGGGCGATGATTAATTTGAGATTTTGAATAATTGAGACCTTCCGCCTCGCTGGCGATGCAACATTTTGACCTCCGGTGCGAAGTAGCTTGATAGGCTAGCATACTATCTATAATACTACTACCGGTGCGTATAATACTACTACCGGTACTACTAATACTACCGGTGCGAAGCGCTGGCATACTATAATACTACTAATACTCGTCTTAACTCAGTGTCGAGATGCGCATTCCCCAGGGCAATCATTCGAAATATATTCAAATTTGAGGCCGTAGGGCATCTTGGATTTTTCGGTTATCTGCAATTGAAAACACAAGTTTGTTGGAAGTCATATATAGAACTAACTGCTTTGTCTCGTCTTAGTCATTTATCATCAGAGCTATTCCTGTATTTATAAAAGTTATTAATAATAAAGATATTATACGGGAATTATATATGTAAAATATATATTAAATATACATATTTTTGAGATAGTATATATTATTCTCGTATATAATAATAATCATGATAATAATGGATCGCCACTGACTATCGCTCATTTGGGCCAGATGATGCAAGATGCTGTTGCTTGCTTCTCGTCGCTGGTAGCGGTGCAGGGGCGGACGATCAGGGATTGTGCCCATTAATACGCCCGGTCGTCTCTTGAAGGTCCCCATGATGAATTAACCTACTCTTAGATTCTTGATAGGACGTTAAATATTCCTCCTGCCACGGAAAGAAATCCTTCCAGCAGGGGTTGAAATCTGACCGCGGGTCTGTTACGTATATAGTGGGGAATCTTGCTCAGTCTAGACTCCCCCTTCTCTCGTTATGGTATGTTTCAATCCTGAAGGTCTCCTCTAAAAGTTTGGAGCCATTCCGGTTATTATTTTCCATGTGTTCAGAATGACATACCTCTCACGTCTCCTGCATTGAGTGCAGACCCATGCACACTAACCTCTCCCAGTAGTTCAACTCCTCTACCCCTATTATCCTGGAAATAAAGGTTTGCTGGACCCCTTCCAGTTGCCGCTCTGCGCCGATTGTGAACAAGATCCAGATCTAGCAGCAGTATTCAAGGAAAGGTATCACAAGGGCTCTGAAGAGTGCTGATCTTCGGCCCCGCTTCTCTTGTTCTCCGCCAGATCCACCCCCTATCTGCCGCCTGACTGCCGCTCCGATGTAGGTACTCTAAACTGTAACCACTGGGCCATCCTGCCAAAACCCTTTACATACTTCATTTTTAATATGACAATTCAGACCAGCACACTGGGAGAATTATAGCTCATATGACTTCGGTTCGTATGACACACAATGTCCCAAGGCGTTATAAGTAAATCGCCTGCTGCAATATTATATTCATTTTGTGAAGTTCGGCGCCATGATCGCATCAGGACGGACGAGTTACCCCGCTGTTATCTATGAGCTTACCGTCAATACATCGCACTGTTTCGCTACTGCCGGCAAAACTGCATCACTGCTAGGTCATTCTGAACACTGACTTCGAGCAAGCATAATTTCGTTGACGAGTTGCCCGAATAGTATAGTCAATAGTGCAATGTCAACTCCAAGAATTTTCGTGGTAAGCTAAGTCGTATTTCTTATTATTAGCAAATTTTATCTTAGGATATTTGAGTCTTGTAGCGCTTCAGATTGGAATTAATTAGTCTAGTCACTCTATGTTTTACAGTTCAAGCGTAATGGTTATAAATCCCTGTATTCCAAATTCCAATCCCATTATACATCGGAAGGTGAGCATTAGCGTACGGGAGGAGAACAAGGGGTAAAATTGGCCGTCGGGTACGCCCAATCCCTGTTGAGCGGTGACCGATCATGTGAGATAGCAAACTTTAGTGAGTTTTGTTTTATAAGTCTGCTTATATTTTTTGCAACTGAGGAAATTACCTATATAGCACTATAACATATACTAGGCTTGGATGGCTGAATAGATAAACTTGAAAATTACTATACACAAGCATAGCTTATACAAGGTCCCAGAAGGATTACTAGAATTTGAAATAAGAACCAACACCAGGGGCCACGGCTATAAACTAAAAAAACTGCGTTGTAACACATCCATGCAACAATATTTCTTCTCGCTTCGAGTCACCGACATGTGGAACAGCCTCCCTGATAGCATCGTTGACGCTCCGAGTATGAACACCTTCCTTATCGAACCCGGTGGAAGTCTAGTAGCTACTTCAAACTATCGTCAGTCATGAAAAGATCCGGTCAAATGACACGATTTTAGATCTTCTATGAACAAGGCACGAAAAGGAAAAGAATCGGCGACAGGCCACATCAGGCCTACACTTCAGCGCCGACATCACTATGTTATGCTATGTTAAGAACAGACTAGACTAGACGAAGCTGTGCAGGAGCTGTTGAAAACTGCTGTCATTCATTTTATTTTAAGCAATGAGTGATCACAATGTTCTCCTTGTCCAAACTTGAATTAATTTCCGACGGTATTGTCTCCATTGACGTGCTTACCTGTGCCCACTTAATTTCGCCATATAGAGGTTATCCCGCAACCTCGAGATTTCAGCCCTGGCAGCCGGCCCTGCCGGCCCAGTTCATCACCAACTATCACCGCATGACGATCTCCTCTACACTCTACTGCAACGCATGTACGGATCGCTCTGTATCTGTGTATTTGGATCTTCGCGTAAGGATGGAGAGCGGCTAGTCCCTCGGTCAACTCCGTCAGCGAGGTGGCACTCCATGGAGCCGCTGGCACCCGACGGCGCGCAGGAGGCCGACTACGTTGACTGCTGCTGTCTGCGTCGTCTGTGGAACTCGATGCAAGTCTACTGCGGTAGAGGTGGGTCGCATTGCACGGATTTGGAGTGCCATGCCGGTCGGCACTCTACTTTCAGTTAATTTAGTCAACCCACACATTGTGGTCATTAATGCTTGTCCCACTCGTGAACTGTAAAAGTGAATGTTCTGCGTTATATCACATAAATGATTAATTTATATATAGCTTCCAGAACTATGTTCCTGGCATTATTCTTCAGTTAACTAAGATCAATGCCAATATTCTACAATCTATATTCATTAATTGCAGGCATTCACTTCTTTTTATTTTTTTAAAGGCCTCCCACACTCACCATTCCAACAAAAAGGTAATTAATTTAATTAATTAAAAACAGGGAATGATCAGGGCCCCGACCTTAACGCCTCTGATGGTGGCCTACACCGACTCCGAGGGTCACTGAGCTGTGACGCGAGCGAGGAGCGGGCCCCATTCACTTCTTGTTAACCGCGTGCGGTGCAGCGGCAGCGCTCCAACACTCTTGACGTTCTCGGGAAGTTTGCCGCTGCTTCGGGGTGCGATTGAGGCGACGCAGCTCGAAACCATCACGATCAATATAATTAACTTTAATTCGTTGTCGTGCGTTTCTTTCCACCCCCCACTCGATTGCGTTTTCAAGAGGAGCATATGTTCAGTCTTAAATGCCTAGCAAATTACGGACCAGGCAATAAGTCCAGAAGCTATCTCAATCAATCGTCAGTTATGGAAATATCGGGTTCCAAAGGCCGGATCCCTTGTGAATCAAGTCGCGAAAAATTCAAGAATTGGCAATAGGCCATGGGCCTATTTCTTCAGTGCCGACACTTCTATTCTAATACCATTCCTATTTATCAATTGACCCTGAGTCCCTCTGTCCCTGGACCCAGCCTCCAGGGCCAGGAATGAACAGGCTGCAAAGCAACAGCGGGCAGCAGCCAATCCTCTTTGGTCGGCTGCGCCTCATCAGCAGTTAAAACGCCAATTAGTAAACACAGGTAGCCTTCATCTTTCATTATTTTGTTTGAACTTGTGGTTGTGGGAGAAACATATTCAGTCGGCTCAAGTTGCCTCTGAGGCGTGTTTGGTCGTGTATAGAGATTTGCAATCGGCATTTGATAAGGTCTGGGTAGATGGTCTGCTTTATAAGTTGGCAATTGCTGGAATTGGTGGTGCAATGGCACGTTGGCTGCATGCCTATTTGACATCTCGCACTGCTCGCGTGAGAGTCAATGGAGTTCTGTCGGACCCCCTGCCATTATCTGCGGGGGTGCCTCAGGGTGCTGTTCTAAGCCCATTGCTATTCAAACTCATGCTGATGGATGTCCATCAGCTTGATGGAGTCAACGTGCTATTATATGCTGATGACATAACAGTGTGTGTCCGGGGCGCAACAATGGGGGCAGCCAAGTCTCTCGCACAGCAATACTTGAACATATTTAGGGCATACTGTACAACTTGGGGGTTAGTAGTAAATGCACAAAAAAACTCTTCCAATATTTTACTTTTAAGCGTGTGAATGTCCCAGTTTTGAGATATGGTCAACCACCATTTAGATATGAACGACAGCATAAGTTATTAGGAATGATATTGGATGCTCTTAGCTTCAAGTGGGGGCCGCATTTGTGCCATCTTCGCACATGTGATTGGCCGTATGGACTTGCTTAAACACTTGGCATCACCTAACTGGGGGTGCTAGTTGTCGATTCCTCCGTCTATTTTACTGTGCCTAAATCAAGGCTAAGATAGACTATGGGTGTGTTCTTTATCAGACTGCATCCTCTGCACAATTATCAAAATTATTCATACTTCAAAATGCTTGTCTGAGACTTGTCCTAGGCGCTCGTTGTACTACACCAGACATCTCACTTGGAATTGAGGCCCATGTTCCCCCATTGGCCCTGAGACGGCAATACTTGACTGCTAGTACATATATAAGGCTGCAGTATCGTCCGGCTGGGGATCATACCACAGCAGCTGTATATGGCGGACTGGCGGTGCTACATCAGTGCTCAGCCGGGTCCCTCAGCTGCTCACTGACCTGGGGCTCGCGGTTTGTTATCGCCAGCCTCTACCAGCATTTGATTCGGTCCCCCCTCGGATTTGTGTGGCTCATCTTATTTGTCTTGATTTCCGCTTTGTCTCTGTCTTGACTGATTCGACTGTTTCTTCTGTTCACGTTAGGGAACATTACCCTGGGTACAAGGCAATCTACTGTGATGGGTCGCGATTGACATTTGACGGACAATCCATCTACAGCCTGTGGTTTATATATACCATCAAAAGCAAGGGCAGTTGCAAGGAGGCTTAACCCCATGCTTAGCATCCTGCCGGCTGAATTGATCGCCATATTACATGCTTTGAAGCTTCTTGTAAGTGAGACAACTCTATACTGGGTTATTTTCTCTGATTCATTTGCGGCCTTGCAGCTCCTATATTCCCTGACGGATACGAATTGCAATATTGTAAATAAAATTCGGCAGCTGCTCCTTGATCTGGATGAGAAAAAAACTGTGCGCCTACAATGGGTCAAGGCCCAGGCTGACATTATTGGGAATGAGCGGGCAGATGCAGTTTAAAAGATGGGTCATACTCTGGACCGTTCTGCGTTGTTTCATCTCTCGTGTTCTGACACACTTGCTTTGTTTCGTTCATGCTTTGTCAGGACTTGGGAGCTGAAATGGATCTCTGCATTAGCTGTTGAGGTAAGTGACATAATCCTGCTTCTGTGCGGACTGATTTGCCCCCTGTTCCATGGGTTACCAGTTGCTCTCGTCGTGCTGCCGTGGTTTTTACACGCCTTCGTTTGGGTCATGCTGGGGTTCGATCGTACCTTTATCGATTTGGCATGGCTGACACTCCCATGTGCTTGCACTGTGGGGTTGAGCCTCACTCACCGTTGAGGTTACCATAGAGCATTTTCTCCTGGCATGCACGCAGTACCGCCTGGAGCGTCAGCTCTTCTTCAATAGTATTCAAGCCTTGGGTGTCCAGCATCCATCTGTTTGGATACTTCATGGAGGAGGCAACTTTCGCAGAAAAGTTCAGCATGCAATAATAAAAGCAACAGTTATTTATTTAATACAGACAAATCGCCTGGCTTCTCTGTAATGCTAAAGTAACATCTTGGTTTGAGCTTAGATCCAAAACCTATAAGCCCACTGAATAAGAGCTTAAAGAACCAGTGAAATAATACTGAAACTTCCCACGTAAATCCTGCTGAGTCCAGGTGTAACAAGTGGTCATCGGGCAGTTACTTCCTCACCTTCAAGCTGCCAACAACAACGAAACTGTCGTGCACAGCTGTGATAGAACCCGCAACCCTCTTGGTTATCCGCTTCTCATGTTTTGAACGTCCGTCAGATCCACTCCATCTGCCGCCGCCTGCCTCTTGCTTCAATCTTGGTACTGACGAGTGACCTCGCTGTTATCTATGCGCTTATCTTAAATAGATCGCTTTGTAATGATTGTTGCGCTGCTCCGGCTAAACTCCATCATTCTTGAAACGGATATCGAGCCAGAATAATTTCGTTGACGAGTTACCAGAATACTATAGTGCAATGTTAACTCCAAGAATTTTCGTGGTGAGCTAAGCTGTATTTCCGATTATTATATCATATTGTGATGTCGGTGCTGAGCCGCTGACGAATAGGCCTGAATATAATTATTGTATCTATGTCTATGAAAGATTAGCGTCCAGAAATTCAAGAAATTGCTGCTCAAAAATGTAAATTTTGTCATAAATTCAGCATGATATACATGGAGGCCGCCTGATGTACTGATGTAGCTTGTCGCCGATCCTTGTCTGAACTCTGAAGAGATTTAAACACAGGTCCTACTACTACTAGCGGATCATTTCCAAACTGACGACAGTTTAAAATACCTACTAGACTTTCACCGGGTTCGATATCGAGCTATCTCAGCTTGGTATTTTAAGTTTCAACATGATACTAGAAAATTTTATCCCCTGAAAGTGTAACCCTTTACCCTGCGCCCTGTGAGAGGCTGTGACACCTCACTCACAGTCACGACTCCTGTAGTCCTGTTGACGTTGTTCCAGCCTTCCAGCTCCAGCCTCCAGGCCCAGGGCACCTTAAACTGGCTTCCATCAGTTCCATCTAGTGTCCTTTCCTCTACTAGTATTGTAAATTAAAGGTGCTGTTAGACAATAGACAGTAAGGGTAAAGGGTGCATACACATTACACAGTGAAAGCAGCTTTGCCCGCATGGGCAACCTGCCACAAGAATGAACATAGAACTAATGCATGTGTTCACACTTCACAGTGAAAACCTGTACAAAATACAAAAAGGCTTCTGCCGACAATTTGCTTATACCTACCTATTTACCGGAAATTAAATAAAATCCGGAATGTAGGGTAAACGCGGTATATTCCGACATTGTAGGTAATTCCGTCACCTCTACAGCTTTTCCTTTATATTAAGCTTTGTTTTAGTTCCATGCGTTCATTGATGGTTGAAATGGTGACGTCATACATTTGCGTGTCGAAATACTGCAAAAACACTAGGTCTTGGCCATCTAGTGGGAAAATATTGAGATCCAAAGAGAGACAATGCATGCCATGTGGTGAGATCATCGAAAAATGTGTCAAATTTGACAGTTGACATGGCTCTACCAAATAGTGAATAACTGTTTTTATAGGAAGAATATTATGGTTTGAGACTTTTAAATACGTCTGTGAATATATTAGGAATCCTTTAAGTACCGTATACTTGTATTTGCTGATTTCAAGTCGTAAATAAATTAGTAGATGATTAAGTTGAGATGTTGGATTTAGACACATGAAAACTAATTCCGACACAACTTGAATTGGACACACACAGATCGTTCAAAGCTTTACACAAAAATTGAAATTTGCTTAATTAAAAGCCTGATAGCTGTTAATTAAAACATAATTAAGTAGTCTTCAATATTCGTTAGTGTTCTAATTCAAAGCCGTGTTGTATCCCAATACAGCTCACACAGCAAACGGAATTTGTTCTAATTCAAAGCCGTGTTGTATCCCAATACAGCTCACACAGCGAACGGAATTTGAACACGTGGATGTTGGCATTACGTATCAGTTAAATTTGAAGCGCTGACGGAATACGACTCACCAAGTGTTGAATATTGCCACACACAGTGACGGAATATAGGGATTTGGTAGGTTTCCATTCTAAAGGCTTTTTAATAAATATGGCAACATTTTGTGACGTTTCATCATTGCTGACGTGTAGTGCAGTGTTTTGAGAGTCACGTGAAGCCAACAGAACTTGTGTAACGCATACGTTTTTTTTTATTGTTTTTCATTTCTCGATGCGTCCTTAATGTGACGGAATATACCGCGTTTACCCTATTCACAGAGGTGTATGCTTGAACACCCATTTGGTACAAATGGAGTAAGAGCACTAACCGAATTGTAGTTGAGAAACTTTTGGCTGACATTGCCAAGAAAATGAACTGTGAAGGTAAGAGAACATTGGTTTAATTTTACTTTGACTGCATATCAAAAAAAGACCTGGTTTCTTCCTCTTGTGAATGGTTTCTTCCTCTCTAATGAAGAAGACCTGGTTTCTTCTAGCTGGTCTCCTGCTTCCTCTCATCTCGTGTGAACACCCTCTCACACTTGTTTCAGGCGCCAGCCTCAGCAGGTAACCAGCACCCTGGCAACCTGCTTTAACTGTGTAGTGTGTGGCGTGTGCGCACCCTTAGTTACAACTTACAAGTGTTTTTATTTGCATCCCGTGACAAGGCCTGCTTGCATTAGTGCATTCATGGTAGATAATATAGCTGGACTAACTCTACACTGCAATTAGGAAAATTTAGGATTTTTACTGGACTACGGTTGAAGCAGACTCAGGCACTCAGCAAAGCAGTATTTCTGAATTCCTATACAACAGAATTTTCCAAAAATTGAGTGTGAAAACTACCAGTTTTCATGAGTTTATAAAGAAGCCACCCATGAATTGGACAAAAACGCTCATAAATATGGCTAATTCCTACTGCCAACTTGCCAAAAGGCCTTTCTTCTGGAAAGACCCTCATTGTCAATGTCACAATGTCACCCAATTATGAATAATCCATGGGCTGAATTTTCCTGAAATTTTGGGTAAAAAACAGTTTCACTGGTATTTTTTTTAATTTTTGAGCAAAAAATGTCAGATTTCTGAGTTTCAATGAAGAATTAGTCAAGTCACTCAAGTGTCCTAACTCCTAAGAATGAGTAAAATGTACTGAGACTGAGAGAAAGGTAGTTTTTATTTCTCATTCATAGCATAGCATAGTGAAGTTGGCACTGAAGGATAGGCCTGATGGTGATGTGGCGGTGGCCTGTTGCCAATTCTTGTACTTTTTGTGACTTGTCCATATAGGAAATCTAGAAACAGGTCCTTCTACTGGATCTATTCATGGTATCTTCTGCTTCATTTTACAGGATGATTTATCACTTCTAAATATACAAAATTCAGTAGTGAATAATTTATGGTAGTACGTATTTAGTTAATTATGAAATTTCATTTTGGTTTCTTCAATAGATGATTGGAAAAATGCCTAATCTTTTAAGAAAGATGTTCAAATGTCATTGCTCCAAATTCATTATTGCTGTGATTAGAAGAATTTAAAATTTCCCTAAATAGGTTGAAGTTTGGATGTTATTCATTTGTTGATAGGAGAGCATGGATAGCCATACTTGCTTATTAGTTCATACACAAATTTTTTTGCTCAGGTCACTGGTGCCAACAAAGGCATAGGCCTTGCCACTGTCAAGGCTCTGTGTGAGGCAGTCGGCAGCAAGTCCATTGTCTACCAGACAGCTCGCAGTGTTGAGCGAGGCACCAAAGCAGTGGAGGACCTTGCCAAGTCTGGTCTCAAGCCTCGATTTCATCCCCTTGATGTTGATGATGCCTCCAGCATTGAAACTTTTGCCACATTTCTCAAGAAGGAACATGGCGGTCTTGATGTTCTTGTCAACAATGCTGCTATTGCATACATGGTAAGTCATGCATCACAGAATTACAAATGTAATTTCAACTCAATTTATATATAGCTAATTTTATGAGAGCTAATGAGTAATTATTGTTTAGTGATTTTTAAGACAAGTGTATTAGCAACATCCTGTTTCAATGTGTCAAATGAAGCTTTACATTCTGTACAGGGAGATGCAACTGTACCAATTGAGGTGCAGGCCGAGCACACTGTGCGAGTCAACTACTTTGGGCTGCGAGCTGTTTGCAATGCTCTCTTCCCCCTCCTCCGGCCCCATGCTCGGTGGGTGACTTTTTGAAATTTGGACTTGCAGTGTTAAGAGTTCTGTAAGATGTTAGGGTTTGCAGGTGTTGCATGAACTTGATTATTCTATCATCTTCAAGGTAGGTAGTAGGTACTTATTTCTTTTATACAAGATAAAAAAGTAATCAGGTTGTTATATACCGTAGTAGAAATAAAACTGCTATTTACAGTTTTATTCAAATCTGCAAATAGATTACCATTATTTTTGGGGGAACTAACTACTTGGTCAAACTACTGATGTTTTTAATTAGTAATAAGACAAATATTTTTAAACATGAAATTACAATATCAGAAAAGGCTTTGATTTGTATTTGCTAATTTAAAAAAAAACGAGTAGATTTGGCTTTTAGTCGTGTTGTAAATAATCAGATGATTTGGGTTTGATCATTTATTATCCTTCAGCCTTGGCTTGTATCATTTTGTAAACAGGCAATCATTCTTAATTTATGTTCTCTTTCTTCAACTGATTAATTTTGTCATGTTCATATCCAGCTGTGGGTATTTCCCATCGAGTCAAAATTCAAGCTCAAAACCTTAAACAAATGTAAGCTTTACATAAAGTTATTCTTGTACGATCCAAATATTGCTAGAGAATACAAACCAACCTGGTAACACTACCAAGAACCCTTGTCAATAGTACATCTTTATATATATTATTAATATTACATTTGTGCTACAAACCACATTGTGAGCTTGTGTCTTATTAATAATAATTTGACGTATGCATTCAGTGGAGAAGATACTTAGCTAATTTTAAGAATATTCTTGAATAATTTTTCTTGGTGAGAAATTATTGTATAATCAAGCTTTGAAAATAATGTCAATTTTTTTCAAACATTTCTTTAATGTGTTGGAAATAATTTAATGAAATAAAATCAACAGTGTGGTGAATGTGTCGTCAGCTGTTGGGCATCTCTCTTGGGTGGATGGTGAGGAACTCCGCCGGCAACTTGCTGACCCGGCGCTCACGGTGGAACAACTTGACAACATCATGCGTGACTTTGTCAAGTGGGTTGAAGAAATTAAGAAATTATTGCAATAATTATATAAACACCCAAGATGTGTGAGGTATTGGGATGATGTGTAAACACAGATGTGTGAGGTATTAGAGTAGTATTTAAAACTCCCCAAGATGTGGGAGCTGTTAGTTCAGTGGCCGTAGTTGCTAGCGCTTCAGGTCAAGCTATCTCACGCCGAAAGTCCCAGCAGACATTACTGGCTAGGGGTAGATTACATCACTTGTATTTGGTGTTGTGCCGATCATATGTAGTCAAATGCATTGATTGCCCTCAAGTGCTCCACGAGTCGGTCAACATTATAGTTCCCTTGCTCTGGTTGGGCCAAAATACTTTTTAGGTTTACGTCGGGGTTGTCTTGGCATAGGTAAGGGAAAAATTGCCACCGGGCATCACCAGACAGACATTCACAGAGGAAGTGGGTTACGGTCTGGGGCACGAATAGCCGTAACGAATATTGACGAATAGCCATGTAGCTTCGGTGAGCTTCTCGCAGCATCCCTTACTGCAGCGCATCCCACTCTGCCATCGTCTTTAGAGCCATTGGTGTATATGTGCATGCACTGTCTATGGCATGTATATAAATGGTCGAGAAACAAAGATTTTGTGCCATCAGTTGAGTGGTCACTTCACCTGCCTTGCATGAAGCCAGAGCAGACCACAGAGAGGGGGAGCAGCCAGCAAGGAGTGTTGCAGAATCTAATGGGTGTAGTCTGCACTGTAAGGTGTAGGCGGGCACAGGTCTCGCGAGCTCGAAAGCCAAAAGACTCTCTCACCCGGCGGGCGGTCGTGGGCCATTGCTGAATAATGCTCAGACAGGAGGGGGAGTTTGGTAGCTGTTGGGCTCTTGCAAGATACTTCAGCATAAGGAGGTCTCTTCTTGCGTTGAGTGAGGGTTCTCCGCTCTCTACGTAGAGACTGAGTACAGGAGATGATCGGAACGCCCCAGTGCAGAGTCTGATGGCGCTATTGTGGACGGGGTCCAACAGGCGAAGAGCTGAAGGTTTTGCAGAGGAGAAGACGATTGAGCCGTAGTCCATCTTAGACCGAATCAGCGAGCAGTTTACTCGAAACAAGGTGCACCGGTCGGCTCCCCAGTTAAGATGGGAGAGGCATCTCATAACAGAGAGGGCACGGGAGCAAGTCTGCTTAAGCTGCCGAATGTGTGGTACCCAGCTGAGACAGGTATCAAGGACCAAGCCGAGAAATCGGGTTGATTGCACAAATGATATCGGGTTGTTTTCAAGAAATAGGCTAGGCTCAGCAGCACTGCGGGTACGATGGAAGTTGATTGCTACAGTTTTCGTTGGTGAGAAGGCGAAGCCGTTTTCCGTGCACCACTTGCAGAGGGCATTAATAGCGATCTGCAGGCGGCACTCTAGACAAGTCGAAAAACACACCGCCCTAACAAAATTCGGGGACCGCCTAGGCTTCGGCCGAATAGTCACTACACTCGGCGCAAAGTTATTCTGGGTCAGTTGGCCAACTGATCGCAATCAGCGTCTAGTCAGAACCTCCTGGCCGACTTTATGGTCTCCTGAGAGTAGGGCAAGAGTTGGCAGAATCCCCTCAGTCCCCTCACCAGGCTCTGGTAGCTGTCTGAATCGGGGATCGGAATGTAGACCAAAAAGCGGACATAGAGAAGCTGATTTACGTTCGGTCCGAGTCCTAGGCGGTTCCTAATTCAGGCTCGCCAGGCTCGCCAAATTTTGATAGGGCGACAAGGTGCTGCTTATCTCGATACGCGGAGAAGACATCAGTTGTGAGGCGAACCAGGGCATCTGTAGTTGAGCGAGCTCGGCGGAAACCAAACTGCTGCGGTGACAGTTGCTCTTCATGTTCCAAATAGTTCGTTAGTCTCACGGCAGCTTGTAAGGGCGATCGGTCCATAGCTGGACGTCTCCGATGCTGGTTTTCCTGGTTTCAGGAATGCGAGAGTCACGGCCTGCCGCCACGCATCAGGAAACAAGTCTCCCATCCAGATTCTATTATAGATATGGAGAAGCCACTCAAGGCTTGTTTCATGCAAGTGTTGAATCATGTGATAGGTGACCTGGTCGGCTCCAGGGGCTGTTGGGCGGGAGCATTTCAGCATGCCTTTAACTTCAATCATGGTGATGGGTTCGTTATAAGGCTGCGGGTCATTTGATGAAAAATCCAGGGGGGCAGGCCTCCATTCTGTCGCGATGCCGGCGAAATGCTGGCATTTGACGTTCCCGACTACTCACTGAAGCAAAGTGATCGGCGAGGCATTCAGCACAAGCGCGGGGTTCAGTGACGGGTTCTCCATTGTACATAAGAAACGGGGATGGTTGTGTGCTGTAGCGCCCAGTCATCTTCTTGATTCTGTTCCACACTCTCGATGGGGGCGTGTCCGCATTAATTCCCGACACATATCGCCGCCATGACTCAAAGCGAACGTTTTTTTACCGTCCGCGCCACCGCCCTAGCTCGGCTGTATGCGATTTTGTCGGCAACCAGGCCGGATCGCTGAAAGCAGCGAAGTGCTCGTTTTCTTTCAAGATTCGCTTGCATGCATGCGGGCGTCCACCATGGCTTTGGCCGGTTTCGGGTGCCTTGCGTTTTGGGTATCACGCAGTTAGCTGCTGCTCGAATCAGGGATGTTAGCTTTTCGATCATCTGGGCAATGGGAAGGTTGCAGGTTTGGTTGTTGTCAGAAGGGACCTGTGTGAGCCGTCGGAAGACCTCCCAGTCAGCTTTGTCGTACAGGTACCTCGGAGTTCGATGCACAAGAGGGCATGTAAGTACAGGGGCTGGACAAAATAATTAAAACACCTGATAAATTTAGAGAAACTTTATTTAATACGGAGTTGGACCCCCTTTAGCCTTCAATACAGCTTCAATACGTCTGAGAATCGAATCGTACAGCTTCTTGACTTGTTCTATTGGAATTTTCAGCCACTCTTCCATCAAAACCTTCTCCAGTTCATCCAGACAGGAGAAGGACTTGTCTGAGAATATTGAGGGACTTGTCTGTGGACTGAGGACTCGTCTGACTCGTAGGAGGAGGACTCGTCTGACTCGTAGGAGGAGGACTCGTCTGAGAATATTACTCGCCTCCACTGGTCTGGAGACCAGGGTTTGTGGTCCTTGCACCACAGCATCCGCTTCTGAATGTTTCCAGAAGAAAGTAGAGGATCCCTGATAGCGGCTCTTCCATGGTATCCACCCTTATGAAGCTCACGACGAACGGTTTAGGTAGAAACTTCATTGCTGAGATGCGGATTTAACTCTGCACGCACCTTTGTAGCCGTAGATCGCCTATTTTTTCATAATGCGGTTTAATATTCTTCGATCTCTATCAGATAGCTTTGAGGGACGACCACATTTAGTGCAATTATTAGATGTTTTCCCCTGTTTTTCGAATTGCGGCATCGTCCTTGATATAGGTAGTAGCTCTCGAAAAACCGAAAACCTCAGCGACTTTGGTGATCGAAGCTCCTGTCATGCGAGCACCAACAATTAGCCCTTTTTCGAAGTCAGTTAAGTCACGCATCTTACCTAATTTTTAAATAAATCTAGAATAGATTGTGCAATATACCTGTAATAGTAAAAACAACGTATATTAATTATGCATGTATACCAATAGAATTAAACTCTGATGAATATTTTGGACAGAGGAGGATTTTAAAGAAAAGGTACTAATAAGTGTAGGTAGTGTTCCAATTATTCTGTCCAACCCCTGTATATCAATGATGATCGGGAAATAATCACTACCATGTAGATCATCCATAACTTGCCAGCCTAGATCCAGCACGATATCGGGGGAGCAGAGGGATAAGTCCAAAACCGACGATTCCCCCGATTGGGAGCAAAATCGCGTCCCGGCTCCTGTATTGAGGAGGCAGAGGTCAGCCTCTATCAAGAACTGCTCCACGACCTCTCCATGTTGGTTATAAGTTGTGTCACTCCATAATGGGTTATCTCCGATGATTAGATATGGAGGCGGAAGTTGGCGGCTAAGCTGCACTAGGTCATAAACAAGAAGGGGGAATCTGGAAGGAACATGAATATTACAGATTATAATGAGTCTGGAGCTGGATGCGTATCGCGACTGCTTGGAGTGGAGTTTGGATGGCTATGCGCTGAAAAGTTCCGTTATTGCTAATGAAACACATCAGGCCATCGCCTGGAGTGCCCTGAGCAACTTGCGAGTAGGTGATGACACTAAATGCAGTCGAGGAACGAGGAATGAATTGCCCCAGCATGCTCTCCTGCAGGCCCGCGCATGCCGGCCCGAGGTTAGCGAGCAGTGACAGAACTTCGCTTGAGTTAGCTCGGTATCCTCGACAATTCCACTGCAATATTGACATTTCACCGCTGGGGGCTCTGGAGGGCGTTTGTCCCTCGGGATGTCTGGTGGCTCTAGTCGTGGAGATCCGCTAGGGAACCGTACCGAGGATACGGGTATACTGTTCAGTTTCGATATCGATGGAGGTAAAAAGGTAGGTAAATTTGGTGGCATGGGATAGTCTGTAAGTACGGAAGAGGACGAAGCCTCATGCCGTTTGGCCGTACTTTCAATTGACTTGGATCGTTCTCGCGGGCGTCTGGAATTGCGAGACGATGATAGGCGGGGTGCTGGGGTCGTTGAGGCTTTGGGGGAGACTGGTTTTTCTGTCGGTGCGGGGGGAGGAGGGGGCAACGACTTGGTCCACAGGTGTTGGGGTACTACTGCAATTTGGGGTCCCGAACTCCTGTGCTCCACCAGCTGGTGTCACACGTTGGGGCTCCAGTGATGAGGTGGTTGTTGCATCATCACGACTTTCTCTTGTGGTCTGTCGTGGCTCCAGCACGCGGTCAGGGCCACGGTTCTTACGGAGTATAGATGCGTAGGTGGTGCCCGGTCGTGGAACAATGGCACTCGCTTGACGCTTTGCGTCTATACATTAGTTTTTGTTTTACTTGTATTGACAGCGTTTCCTGTTCAAGTTTGTAGTGATGGCAGTTAGGTGATGATGCTTCATGAGGACCTCCACAATTAGGGCATCTAGCCGGTCGGAGACACGGCAAATCATGTGCATCTTCAAAGCATCTGGGGCATATAGCAGTGGTCGCTCGGCATGTTTAGCTCCATGGTTGAAGCGCTGGCACTTATACAGGGTGCGGCGCGGGAACTTACTTATTTGAATTGCGCGCCACGTGGCGGCCATTAGTCCTAGGAAGGTGGCGCCATGCGCAATATGGTGCGCGGGCTATGAAGTTTTTCGTCCACTCAGTTCAGTTGCGACCATGCAGTGGTCGAGAGAGGAGCGCGCGTTCGACAGCATGGAGGTCACCTACAAGATGTAATATTCAAGAATTAAACTTGTAAGTAAACCCAACGAAACTTTAAATGTAGCTCTTTGTAAAAAAGAAAGAATTAAAACGCTATCTTTAATACTTTTTACTTTGTGATTTTTTTAAAAGAGTAAGTTCCCACGCCGCACCCTGTAGCATCGGCGTGGGCGAGGGATGTATTCTCTCACAGCACAGCGGTGCCACCCGATCTTCACCTCAGTTGGGAGCTTGCATGTTGCGAATGTCATGACATATAACGGGAGGTCCACCAGGGTTCCATGCAACTTCTTCTTCATTTGGTAGATTGATTTAACGTTATAGTGGCTAAGATGCTCTTGTAGTTTTTCAACTGGATATTTAGGCTCATTTCGGTAGTAGATGGTCCCTTTTGTTTCATTCAGTGCACCGTGCGGTTCGACGGTGACAGAAACAGCTGCTAATGACTTTATTACTATAAGATAGCAGAATAAGCTTATTTAAACACGAGTGGTTAATGACCAGAGAAATCATTGATTTAAATTTTCAGGATCGAACAATATTCTTCAGTGGACGTTGGTTGATAAAAATTCAGGTTCAAGGAAGTAATTTCATTTATTAACGACGTTTCGAATGTGACATCATTCATTTTCAAGTTATATGAAGCATTGAATACATTGAATAATTTTCGTGTTGTATCATATTTACGTGTATCATGTACTTATTTCCGCCAAAATCTCAGTATTCAATGCTTCCTATAACTTGAAAATGAATGATGTCACATTCGAAACGTCGTTAATAAATGAAATTACTTCCTTGAACCTGAATTTTTATCAACCAACGTCCACTGAAGAATATTGTTCGATCCTGAAAATTTAAATCAATGATTTCTCTGGTCATTAATGACTTTATGTATAGTCTGGATTCACTCTGAGCTTTGCTTTATACTTGCTCCGTCGCGGGTCTCGTGCACAGTTTGAGGTTCACTGCCCAAAGAAAAGACAAGTTGCCGGTTAGCCAGAACTACGTCAATGGCAGCTAGGCTTTCACCCGTCGTCGACGAGACGCGGAAGAAGTGAGGGTAATCTCGGTTGTGGGCTTCTAGGGTTGGCTGCGTTTATCTCCATGTTCCTCGTTTAGAATTCTTATTTTGCCCGGCCCCGCCAGAGGCCTGAGGGCGCGGGCTAAACGGCTTCAGTGTCGTGATCAACGTGGAGGTAGGAGAAGTCAAGGTTGGTTCCGTAGTGAGGGTCCGGGTCGTTTCCGTTGTCGGGGTATCAGGTACAAGAGGCGCATCCAAAGAGTTCATTTTTCTTTTCCGGATTGTTTGGTTCGTACGACGCGCTGAGCAGGCACCCGTTTATCTGCCTCTAACAAGGGGACCCCTGGTGTCAAGCACACGTCGTCTTGACGGGAAAACTCGTACGCTCGGATGTAGCTTTGGTTGTCGTAGGCGCAGCAGGTTGTGCGCTTGACTAACGTTGCAAGACGGGCGCCACTCCGTCTGCGCGGTGTTTAAGCAGCCCCCCGCCTGCCCCGGAGTCCCGCAGCAAACCCTTGCCACGCATTACTGTTGAAGCTAGCGGGTCGGGTCTAGGTCCCCGCCAGGCTTCGTCAATCCAGCGAAAGGTCTTTGCGTATCCGAAGGAGAGCCAGGTCGTTACCAGAATTGCGTTTTGCCATCTCTGTTAGTCTGGACTCTCCACCCGAGCCACTCGGCCATGATTGCATCTGAGACCGCACAGCTTCGAGTCTCATCGAGACACGCAAGCCGCCCCCCCCCCCACGACAAGGGCGAGATGGCACGGGGGGGCCAAGATGTGGGAGGTAATGGGGTTATGTTTAAACACCCTCAGACCTAGGGTGTAATGGTTACGATATCTACCCATCTACATAACCCTCACCTTGTCCTATAATGCTGACATTGCTAGGCTGCATAAGTTTGCGTTGCGTCAGTGTAGATCTTTCCAATGCAGAGCTGTTGCTGATAATACGCACGTGCAGCTGGGATGGCGGGACGTGAAATATAGACCTTATATGGCCAGCAAGGTGGGGATATCTGCGCTGACCAGGATCCAGCAGCGCATGCTGGACCAAGACCCGCGGGAGGACATCGTTGTCAACCACTGCCATCCTGGCTACGTCAAAACTGACTTGACCGGGAACACGGTACTACGCGCATCAAACAATTTTATGTATTTGAATTAGAATAACTTTTGATATTTGTTTACCACTTGGCAGAAAATTTTTGCTTATTTAGCCTTCTAGAAACGTGTACCTAATTTAATCTTGCTTCTAATTGAAACCTGTACATCATTGAAACGGGTATATACCGAACCGAAACGAGTACCTAATTGAATCATTGAATCGCGTTTCTAATTGAAAAGTGTACATAATTGTATATACCTAACTGAAACGTGTACTTTAGTGAACTGTGTACATAATAGCAATGAAACTCCGTCCAGGCCTTTATATTGCTAATCAGAAGACTTATCTTTGTGTAACTCATATATCTGTATACATTATACATACATTTAACTATCAAAAATAACCTTATGTTACTGTACATATTTAGGAAAAAAGTTATAATGGTGTCAATGACTCGTATAGTTTGAATTCTCCCTAATATTTTGTCTTGGAATGTCAGGGAATATTCACCGCCGAACGGGGGGCAGTGTGCCCCACTTACCTAGCCCTGCTGCCCCCCAACGTGGCCTCTCCCCGCGGGGAGTACGTCTGGCATGACAAGATGGTCCTCGACTGGGTGAACGCAGACCTGCCTCATCCCGGCTACTGAGCCTTCACTACATGTGCGCCTTAGAGTGTGGGATGCCATGACCTGTTGGACGACGTGTGTGCCTTAGAGTGTGGGATGTCATGACATGTTGGACGACGTGTGTGTCTCAAGAGTGTGGGATGCCATGACATGTTGGACGACGTGTGTGCCTTAGAGTGTGGGATGTCATGACATGTTGGACGACGTGTGTGTCTTAAGGCCTGTTCACACTAGGGGCAACACACGGGCGTCAGGCACGTCACCGCCCCTCTACGTGCGCTTCTTGTGGGCAACGAAGCGATTGACGAGCAAGCGATTCACTGTCGCCCTGCTTCATGCAACACAAGCGCCGCACTTAGTAGACGGCTGTCTGTGGTCTAGTGGGGTTGTCTGTATACGCTGGTGCTGGTGACGGCTGGTCTTTCACGATGGCAACTAACGCCACACTCGTTTGGACTCGCTCTCTAGTAGAGAGGCTAATTGATCGTTGTAGAGAGCATGAATGCCTGTAGAGAGTTCAGTCAAAGAAGCTTGCTCAGTTGCTGTAAGACCAGTGTTTTGAACAATGTCCTGATCCGTAATCTCAATTGGGAAAGAATTGTTAAAATTCCACTTGTATACACTAAACCTGATCAAAATTGGCCGTTTGACTAATCAGATATACCCACTGCTGACCATGTCGGGAGGTTTCCTCATTTGAAGGAGGTTCCCTGCAACTTTGTTGATGTAGAAATTGGGCTTTTGTTCCTTGCTTGATAAAACCTCAAGAAGTTGTAAGAGGTGCAGACGATGATCCTTACTCCTCTCTGCATTCGCTGGGTCGGGCTCTTAATGGACCCGTTGACACGTCCGTTGACATGACTAATAACTTTCGTAAAATTGTAGATCAGAGCGACATAGAGAACTGTTTTGAGCCGATGTACGCCCAAGATTTTGTTGATGTTTATTCCAGCAGAGCTGACTTGTCGGTAGAAGACGTGAAATGGGAGGAACTTGTAAGTAGCAGCTTGGTAAAACTTCCAGACTGTCACTATCAAATAGATTTGCCTCTTAGAGAGAATGCCTATACTTTCCTGATAATAGAAATCAGGCACTGTCTAGATTTGCATCTCTAGAGAGACGATTTAAACGTGACTCTATTTTTTTAAGACTATGAGAGTTCAGTCAAAGGAGTATAGAAGTCGAAATGCAAAAGAACAAGCTGTGGTGAAAATAGTTGAAGTTTTAAAAAACTATTTTGTACAAGTCACCATTGACGAGGTTCACAAGAAAATTCATACGGTGCGTTCGCAATTCCACCGTGAAACGAATTTCATTGCAAATGAATTACATTGCATGTAAATTCCATCTCAATTCTATCATCCTGGTTCTGGATGAGTGGCATTATTTTCTTTTGCAGACTGTCAGATAAGTCCACTGGCAGTCTAGTATAATTTTGAAAGTCTGATGCATTCGCAACTGATAATTATTTTTAAATATAATTGTGTAAATCTTAACAGCAGCACACACGAGAACAATGGCCCAGAGCTCAAATTCGGTTATATCCATTTCCACTGACGTCTTATTAGCTGGCATCTAATCTTCAAAGCGCGTGGTCTCGAGTTACCGCGTACAAAATTAAGTGTGAACGGTTGTGGGCGGTGAGGTGCTGCAGCAAGCGCCTCACCGCCCATGTCGTTGCCCCTAGTGTAAACGGTCCTTTAGAGTGAGTAAAGTCATGATATGTTGGACGACGTGTGTGCTTTAGAAAGCGGTATCTTGGTCAGAATGCTTGGAATGTTTTCATACAGTATCGGAACTAATCATTAAAATAAGCTGTAGAAATTGTTTTCATTTCAACATTTGTGCCAAATATTCAAATTTGTTATGTATTTTTATCTGATTCGGATCTGTCATTGAGGAATTAGAATCGAAAAGAGATGTAAAAAATTAAAAAATGATTTATGTATTCTTATAAAGAAAGGGTAGATAATTTGTATTGCCTACAGTTCGTTGTCCCAAGTTAGAGTCGGATGAAAATATTTGAGTTTTAATCTCTGCTCAAATTATATTCATGTCAGAGAAAAAGTAGAATGTTAGTGCGATGGAAGATTCAAATAGATGGGAAGAAAGGAAATGTCGAGCAACTTCGTCTTTTCTTGATTTAAATACATGTTGAGGCAAATAATACTAATGAAATGCATAATTAATTTTAAGCTTTTTCATTATATACGTACTAATGATATTGGATCAGGCTGTTATTGTTATTTTTCGCGGATTGTGGTGTACATCGTTATTTACGTTGTTTTACGATATACGGCATAGTTTCTATGGTGATCATATACAGGTTGTTTTTATTGTTGCGTTCAATGAGTTAGAGTGCAGTGTATCATTTCACTATACTGTGTTTCGCGAATGCGCTTTTAATCCAAATTTGTACTCGATCTCATTGTTTAATGTGGCTTTATATTATCGGGCTGACCTTTGTAACCTTAACCAACCCTGTGAACTGATACATTCCCGCTCTGCAACATCAACCCGCCATCACAGAACTGTTCACCGTGCTCACTGTACTTTACCTCACTCATATTTAGCGGAACTAACTGAATCTGCTGCTCTGTTATGTCCGCACCAGGTATCACACTTCCTGTATTCCATTCAATACATTCTACTAAAATTTACTCGTCGATGAACGATTTCTCTACTAGCGCACTCGTTGGCAGCTCTGCTTCCCCTACTCGAATTACGATTATCCGATTGTTATCAGAAGTTCTTCATATTGTGATAATCCGACTGATTAGTGTGGCCAAACCCTGTTCTGCAGTGTTGTTTACTTGTTACCCTTTGTATGTAATATGAGGTAGATATAAAGGTTATGTAAATGTTACTATTTTTATTTGTTAATTTTATATTGTGAAGATGTTATGTATTTTGTCTGTTGATACCTTTTTTCGGTCATTGATTATGTGGGAAGTTATATCATTTAAATTGAATAATAGATATGGGAATTTCAAGTTGCATTGATTCTTCGATCTTTACCTTATACGTAGTCATGTATGTTTGGATTATTAAAATATATATTTTAATGTCGCAATTATACTCTATCCTCGTCTTCAGTCAGTGTCGAGATGCGCAATCCCCAGGGCAATCATTCGAAATATATTCAACTTTGAGGCCGTATGGCATCTTGGATTTTTCGGTTACCTGCAATTGAAAACGCAAGTTTGTTGGATGTCAAATATAGAGCTAACTGCAGTGTCTCGTCTTGTCATTTATCATCACGGCTACTCCTGTTTATATAATAATATTTATTCTATATATTATACGGGAATAATATACTTAAAATATATAATATATTTGAAATAATATATTATTCCCGTATATAATAATAATCATAATGATAATGGATCGTTACTTCTGACTGTCGCTTATTTGGGCCAGAAGATGCAAGATTCTGTTGCTTCTCGTCGCTGGTAGCGGTGCAGGGGCGGACGATCAGGGATAGTGCCCATTAATTATTAATTAATTGTGTGCCGGTCGTCTCTTGAAGGTCCCCATGATGAATTAACCTACTCTTGGATTCTTGATAGGACGTTAAATATTATTCCTGCCACGGAAAGAGATCCTTCCAGCAGGGGTTGAAATCTGACCGCGGGTCTGTTACGTATATAGTGTGGGGAATCTTGCACAGTCTAGACTCCCCCTTCTCTCGTTTTGGTATGTTTCAATCCTGAAGGTCTCGTCTAAAAGTTTGGAGCCATTCCGGTTATTATTTTCCATATGTTCAGAGTGACATACCTCTCACGTCTCCTGCATTGAGTGCAGACCCATGCACACTAACCTCTCCCAGTAGTTCAACTCCTCTATCCCTATTATCCTGGAAATAAAGGTTTGCTGGACCCCTTCCAGTTGCCGCTCTGCGCCGATTGTGATCAAGATCCAGATCTAGCAGCAGTATTCAAGGAAAGGTATCACAAGGGCTCTGATGAGTGCTGATCTTCGGCCCGCTTCTCTTGTTCTCCGCCAGATCCACCCCTATCTGCCGCCTGACTGCCGCTCCGATGTAGGTACTCTAAACTGTAACCACTGGGTCACCCTGCCCAAACCCTTTACGTACTTCATTTTTAGTATGACAATTCAGACCAGCACCCTGGGAGAATTATAGCTCATATGACACACAATGTCCCAAGGCTGTTATAAGTAAATCGCCTGCTTGAATATTATATTCATTTTATCTAATTGTGCACCTTGATCGATTCAGGACGGTTGAGTTTGAGTCAACATCGCTGTTATCTATGCGCTTATCTGCAATACATCGCACTGTTGCGCTGCTGCCGGCAAAGCTGCTAGGTCATTCTGGACACGGACGTCGAGCAAGCATAATTTGAGTTACCTCGCTGTTATCTATGCGCTTATCTCCAATACATCGCACTGTTGCGCTGCTGCCAGCAAAACCTCATCTCTGCCCTGGACAAGGACGTCGAGCAGCATAATTTCGTTGACGAGTCACCCGGTAGCCAGAATAGTACAGTCAATAGTGAATAGTGCAATGTCAACTCCAAGGATTTTCGTGGTAAGCTAAGTCGTATTTCCTATTAGGTATTAGAAAATTTCATCTCCTTATATTCGAGTCTTATAGCACTTCAAATTGGAGTTACCTAATTAGTTAGTCATTCTCGTTCCTACAGTTCTAGCGTAACGGTTATAAATCCATGTAGGCTATATACTAATATAGCAATTCCATTATACATGATCGGAAGGCGAGCTTTAGCGTGCGGGAGGAGATTAGGAGAATAAGGGGTTAACTCGGCCATTGGGTACGCCCATTTACCTTTGAGCGGTGACCGATCATATTATGAGATGACGAGCTTCAGTAAATTTTTTTATAAGTCTGATAATATTAGGTAACTGAGCAAATTACCAATATGGCACTATGGCCTATAACATAGGTATACTAGGCTCGTAGGCTGGATGGCTGAATAGGCTAAAGTAAACAAACTTAGAAAATAGTAATTACTATACCATAGTTATTATAGTAGGTAGGTACTATAATACTGCCAAACGGGGTAATAAGGGACAGTCCTTCAACTTCAAGTTGAGGCTCCAACATTTTGTAGAAATGTAGCAGGTGAACTAGGCCTAATCAAAATTTTGCAAAACTAAAAATAGTGGCATAAAGTTCAACCATTTTATGATTTTACTATCTACCTATGTAGCATAACGCAAGTTAATAAATCATACATTTATTACCTCTAAAAAATCCCTGAAAAAGTGTGAAAACTCACTGAAAAGTGAGATTTTGGAAAAGTCAAAAGAACCTCTAAGCTCTACTAAGGTCTGTAGCCTGTAGGCGGTAGGCCTACGACTCATAGTGGCAAACCACAGCTTTTTTAGAATCAGTTCATTTTTAATTTCCTTGTTTACCCAAGATTTAAATCAATTTCTTATGTATGATACTGCTGGTATCCAGGATACTTTACTGGTCTACTTATAGGACTCACAAATGAACTTGAGGGAGAGTCTAAAAAACTCGCTGCTTTGCCACTATGGCCTACGTTACGTAGGTAATCTGTAGCAAAATACATATTTGTTGTAGGCCTGTCAAAAAGTTTTACATACATAAAAGTTGCACACTGGTGTTGGAGTTGGCCTAAAAATGTGCTTGGTAGAATTTGCATAGGGATAGCCATCTCATTCCATAAAAAAAATGGTGGCCATTCCTGCAAAACAGGGTAGGCTAATAAGGGATAGGCTATGGTGGCTACCCCATCCCCCCCCTGATCATGAGTACACTCAGCATGCTTCAAATATTTTAAAATCAATTTTTATTTCCAGTGTCCCTTAATACCCCCATTCCCAGAAAAATTCAGGAGGCTTTTATATTGTGTCGGACAGTCGGTGTGTCCACCACCTTACAAATAGCATATGGAATTTTTTTGGAGATGCCATACAATAGCCCTTGCAAAGACCTTTAAAATCAGCCCAAACTCTTTTATGAAACGTTTCATGGTATGAAGTTATTAACAAAAAATGTTCAAAACTGTCCCTTATTACCCTGTTTGATGGTAATAATATTTCTATTTATCAATTGACTGTGAGGGCTGAGGCTGAGTCCCTGGACTTGGATGGTGAACCTAGCCTCCAGCCGTGAAGCTCCAGGACCTGGAGCGCACCGGCTGCAAAGCTCAACGGCGGGCAGCGGCCAATACTCTTTGGTTGGCTGCGCCTCACCAGCAGTTACATAGCCAATTACCTACTGAATAAGTAAACATAGGTAGCCTTCATCTATCATTATCTTGTTACTTGTTTAGGTAGTACCTACGGTAGTTGTATTACTTGTATTGACTTGTGGGAGCAGAGGACAGAGGAGAGGTGTAACACTTCTTGTTTGAGTTGTTTCCTTTTGAATCCACTTTTGAGTGCGCCATATTTACAGGTAGCCTTGGGAAGTTGGGTAGGTAGTTTTAACCTCAATGTTCAATCCAAATCCATTTAGGCTAGATTAGCACTGATCATAGTATTTTTGTACAATCTACCAGGTTCTCTTGTCTGATCCAAATTTATAAATTATTAGCCTATTTGTGGGTGGATTCTGCCCAATTTTCCAGAATGCCCCAAGAATGGGCTACTCAGTATAACCCTTAATGGAAAATTATGCAGAACTCAACAGAAACAACCTTTAAATTTGATAAAAATGCTCGTGAATATGGGAAATTTCTATTGCCTAAACAAGAGGCCTTTCTTATGCCTATGGAAAGCACCTCTTTGTCACAGAATTAGGAATAATGGCTGAATTTTCCTAAAATTTTTGATAAAAAAGGTTCCCTTTTAATTTTTTTTAATTTGCAAGGAAAAATTTCCAAATTGTTATAAATTTTAATGAAGAAATTAGGCAATGCCATAGAAACAGATAAAATTGACAGAGCTGCTGAGAGCATTGCCATTTTTCTCTTATTTGTAGCATTTTCTGCCTAATTATAGTATGATTTATCACTTCTGAATATGCAAAATTCTGTATTTTATTGTATTAAACTCTTTCATTTAGATAATTATGAAATTGAATTTTTTTTTCAATAGTTGATTGATTGAATGAAATTTCTCAATTTTTTAAGAAAGATGTTCAAATGTCATTGCTCCAAAATTCTTTGCTGTTGTGATTAGAAGAATTTAAAATTACGTACCCAAAATATTTTGAAACTTAGATATTATTCACTTGTGTTGATATGTAGAGCATGGATACTTGCTTACTAGTTCATACCCAAATTTCTCTGTTCAGGTCACTGGTGCCAATAAAGGCATAGGCCTTGCCACTGTCAAGGCTCTGTGTGAAGCAGTTGGCAGCGAGTCCATTGTCTACCTGACAGCTCGCAGTGTTGAGCGAGGCACCAAGGCAGTGGAGGACCTTGCCAAGTCTGGTCTCAAGCCTCGTTTTCATCCACTTGATGTTGATGATGCCTCCAGCATTGAAACTTTTGCCACATTCCTAAAGAAGGAATATGGCGGTCTTGATGTTCTTGTCAACAATGCTGCTATTGGGTACAAGGTAATTCATGCATGTAATTTGTAAGATATGTACCCCAATGTAATTTTACCTCAATTTATGTATAGCTAATTATATGAGAGCAGATGAGTGATTATTATTTACTGATTTTTAAGCAAAATGTATAAGCAAAACCCTGTTTTTATGTGTGGATTGAAGCTTCACATTCTGTACAGGAAGATGCACCTGAACCATATGGGGTGCAGGCTGAGCACACTGTGCGTGTCAACTACTTTGGTCTGCAAGCTGTTTGCAATGCTCTCTTCCCCCTCCTCCGGCCCCATGCTCGGTGGGTGACTTTTTGAAATTTGGACTTGCAATATTAAGAGTTCTGAAAGCTGTTAGGGTTTGCAGGTGTTTATATTGAACAAAAGGAACCTAATAACATTGGATGATAATCATAAATTGCTCAGTGCCAGTGGGAAATTCTTGGAGCATCACTGATTCTGTAAATGCATAAACTTGATTATTCTATCAGCTTCAAGGTACTTATTTCTTTGCTACAGGAGAAAAATGTAATTGGGGGACTGTATAGTAGAAGCAAAAGTATGTTGTATTTCAAATCTGAAATAAATTGAAATTGTATGTAGGGGAAATAACTACTTGGTCAAACCACTGATGTTTTTAATTTGTAAGTGGAAATTAATTTTGAATATGAAATTACAATATTAGAAAAGGCATTGTCCGGTGGCTAACAAATTTGAGTTCCTTGGACATCTTGATTTGTACTTACTAATTGTGTAAAACAGAGCAGACTTTGACTTTACTTTTGTTGTAAATAATCTGAGGAGTACAAAACCATTTAGGTTTGATCATTTATTCTCTCTCAGTCCTGGCTTGTATCGCTTTGTTAATAGGCATTCGTTCTTAATGAATTCATTCAATCATTCTCTTTTTCAATTAATTGATTGGGTATATCATGTTCATAGCTATCTGCTGGTATTTCCCCAAATCAAAATTCAAGCTCAAAACCTTAAACAAATTTAAGCTTTAGATTAAGTTAGCCTTGGACAATCTATTTATCACCAGAGATCACAAAAAACCTGCAAAACACTGTACCAAGTACCATTACGTATATTACATTTGTGCTGTGAACCGCATTATGAGCTTGTGTCTTACTAATAATAATCCAATGTAGGCATTCAGTGAAGAACATAGCCAATTTTTACAACATTCTTGAATCATTTTTCTTGGTTTCTTTTTCCGTTTCATAATCAAGTTTTAAAATTAATGTCAAATGGTATTTCAAACATTTCTTAATTGTGTTGGAAATAATGTTTTAATTGAAATCAACAGTGTGGTGAATGTGTCATCATCTGTTGGGCATCTTTCTTGGGTGAATGGTGAGGAACTCCGCCGGCAACTTGCTGACCCGGCGCTCACGGTGGAACAGCTTGACAACATCATGCGTGACTTTGTCAAGTGGGTTGAACTAATTGACAAATTATGTGTTGCCTATGTTTTGTATATACACCTCCAGATGCGGGAGGTATTAAGGGAATGTTTAAACACCTTCAGACGTAGGATGTAATGGTTATGATATTTACCCACCTATATAACCCTGATATTGCCCTATTATGCTGACATTGCGTGGCTGCATAAGTTTACATTGCATCAACGGAGACCTCTTCAATGCAGAGCTGCTGCTGCTGAGAAAAAGCAGCACGTGCAGTTGGGATGGCGGGACGTGCAATATGCACCTTACGTAGCCAGCAAGGTGGGGGTGTCTGCGCTGACCAGGATCCAGCAGCGCATGCTGGACCAAGACCCGCGGGAGGACATCGTTGTCAACCACTGCCATCCTGGCTACGTCAAGACAGACTCAACAGGGAACAAGGTACTTCATGAAAGTTTATTTATATGAATAATTTATTGATACTTGTTTACTGTTTAGCAGAAAACGTTTTGCTTGTTGTACCTTATTGAAACGTGGGCTTAATTAAATCATGTTTCTAATTGAAACCTGTACATAATTGAAACGGATATTTAGTTGACTCGGATATATACCTAATTGAAACGGGTACCTAATTGAATCGCGTTTCTAGTTGATACGTGCACATAATTGAAATGGGTATGTACCTAATTGAAACTTGTACTTCAATGAACTGTGTACATCATAGCAATTCAACCTTTATATTGCTCATCAGAATACCTATCTTTAAGCTACTCCTATATCTGTATATATTCATTTACCTGTCAAAAGTAAATTTATCTCGCTGTACCTATTTAAAAAAATTATAATGGTACCTAAGAATTGTATCGTTTGAATTCTCCCTAATATTGTGTCTTGGAATGTCAGGGAGTATTCACCGCCGAGCGGGGGGCAGTGTGCCCCACATACCTAGCCCTGCTGCCCCCCAACGTGGCTTCTCCCCGCGGGGAGTACGTCTGGCATGACAAGGTGGTCCTCGACTGGGTGAACGCAGACCTGCCTCATCCCGGCTACTGAGCCCTCGCTACATGTGCGCCTTAGAGTGTGGGATGCCATGGCATGTTGGACGACGTGTGTGTCTCAGAGTGTGGGATGCCATGACATGTTGGACGACGTGTGTGCCTTAGAGTGCGGGATGCCATGACATGTTGTACGACGTGTTTGCTTTAGAATGTGGTATATTTGTCTGAATGATTGGAATGTTTTCATACAGTAACCGAATGAACCTTAAAAATAAGCTGTAGGAATTGTTTTTATTGCAATATTTATACCAATTATTCAAATTTTTCATGTATTTTTTCTGATTTGCATATGTCATTGAGGAATTAGAATCGAAAAGATATGTTGAAAACCAAAAAATGATGCAAGGTCTCTTATTTAGAATTAAGATAGGATAGATGAATTGTGTTACAGTTCGTTCTTCCAAGCGAGAGCCTGACAAAAATATTTAGTTTTAATCTCTGTTCTAACTATATTCATGCTAGAAGAAAAGTCGAATATCTGTGTGACGGAAGATTCAAATTATTTGCTTGAGCTGATTTGGGTGGGAAGAAAGGAAAGTGCGTTGACAACTTGGTCACTTATTTGTTTAGATACATGTGTAGGCAAATAAAACGTATGCAATGCGTCATTAACTTAAAGCTTTTCCATTATATACTAAAGCTGATTGGACATTGCTTTTATGTTTTATCGTTATTTTTTGCTGGTTGTGGTGCTCATTGGTATTTACGTTGTTTTACGAAATACGGCGTAGTTTCTATGGTGATCGTTGTTTTTATTGATGTGTTCCATGATTCGTTTGATTGCAGTGTATTATTTTACTATACTTTTACTACTTCTTACTATACTTTTACTTTTTCTCTGATGCCCTTTTAATCCAAACTAATACTCGATCTCATTGTTTGATGTGGCTTTAGCTTATCGGGCTCAACTTTGTAACCTTAACCAACCTCCCCGCTCTGCAACATCAACCCGCCATCACAGAACTGTTCACCCTGCTCACTGTACTTCACTCCAATCTTACCTAGCGGAAGTAACTGAACCAGTTACTCTGTTGTGTCCGCGCTGAGCATTCCACTTCCTGTATTCCATTCAATACATTCTACTAAAATTTACTCATCGCTGAAAGACTTCTCTACTAGCGCACACGTTGGCAGCTCTGCTTCCCCTACTCGAGTTACGATTATCCGATTGTTATCGGCAGTTCTTCCTATTATGATAATCCGACTGTGATCAGTGTTGCCAAAACTTGTCCTGCAGTGTTGTTTTCTTGTTGCTATTAGTATTTAATACGAGGTAAATATAATGGTTATATAAATGTTACTGATATAACTGAACATGTTTTGTATTTAGGCTGTTGAAGACTTTTTTCTGTCATTAATTATTTGGGAAGTTGTATCATTAAGGTTTAATAATAGATACGGGAATTACAAGTTGCGTTGATTTTTCGTTCTGGGCTTAATACATAATCAAGTACGCTTGGATTATTAAAATATATAGTTTAATGTTGCAATTAAACTTTATGCTCATCTTAACTCAGTGTCGAGATGCGGCTTCCCCACGTCAAGCATTCGTAATATTTTCAACTTTGAGGTCGTTGGGCATCTTGGGTTTTTCTGTTAAATACTAATGAAAACGCAAGTTTGTTGGAAGTCAGATACAGATCTAACTGCTTTGTCTCGTCTTGTCATTCATCATCACAGCTATTATCGTCTAAACTCTAAAGCCTGGGTAGCGAGAGTTATATGTGTTACTAGCAGGTTAGCCCGGCGTTGGCTGGACTTGAGAATTCCTGCAATTTTTGAAATCCCGATCCCGTCATTCCCATAACTCCTACTCCCGGAAATAGTAAGAGCTTTTTTTTAATTCTAATTACATCCAAGAACCGTTCGAACCCACATTTCACAATTAAGATAGGATCTTTGATAGGATCTCGATCTTTGGACGCAGCCAATCGATGTGGCGCGCTTCATCGGCCTCGGAACGGACTAGTGGTTGACGTTGCTACAACAACAACAATGAAGATATGACCCCCATTTTACTCTGCTTTGGACGATTTGAAATTTAATATTAATCAATTGTACAATCAAATAACTTACAAATCGATATCCTGACTCTGTAAGTCTCTTCGATACGCGCGCCAACAATCCCTATGTATTATACATAAGGCGGCATTTATATTTATATCGCCACGTTTCAAGACGCATAAACAAGTATGTGCGATATGTGGAAAGACAACAAGTTCTGAAATGAACTGGATGAAAAATAGCTTAAGAAGTTATCCCGTAAAGTACTTTTAATGTGAACGAAAGACAGAGTAGAGTTGCGGATAAAGAACAAATTCAGTAATTTCACTACATTTTATTTCTGTAAGGCACAACGTGCAAAATGAGTGCTACTAATAACTCGTATCGGATAGCGTCTTCATTAATACTATTTTTTATAAGAATCTACTACGGAGGCACAAAGTTTATCCGCATAGTAAAAACGAATGAACAGAAAAGATGGTACTACAGAGGCACAAAGTCTATCCGTACAATAACAAATAAGTGAACAAAAAAGATATAGTTCTAGAGAACTGAAATATTTCAAGTCAACGTTTGTCAATGTGAAATATAGAGTGAAGCACAGGACGATAAAAAATGTACCTGAAATCTGGACACTCGCAGTAATGCCCCGTCGCTTAATTAAACGCGACTGTTTTGGGGGAAAAAATTCGAAAACCTATCCAGATGAATACAATTAAGTTTTTGTGCAAATCAAACGAACACAGGAACTGTTCCCTGATAACACTTATCAGTATCAACATCATATAACTCAGACACATGAAGGAGTCAAATTGTCCTAATAGTGACTCCCTTCCTCACTCAGAGCATAAGCTAAGCAGTGAGCAAACGTAGCATTCGCATACCCTCAAGCCGGGCAAAAGTAGGCCATGTTGACTCGCACGAGGGCAAAAAGTGCACTGCCATTCGGACAAAAGTCATTTTTTTCTCTGAGTGCTACAGTGTGACGGTGAACTCTCAAGTCAATAATTACATATAGTGGAACAGGAATCACACCCACGAACATTAACCAGTCCTGTAATCGAGAGCAAAATCTTGCACGATTTCTTACTTGATGGCAACAGTTTTCTCGAAGTGATTAAAAGTTAGCTCAGGAATTGAAAAAATATACATAATAAGGAATGTTTGAAACTTTCCGATGTCACGTATTTTCGATGAGCTTAATACAAGACCTTACCTTACCTTAAAAACCTTAATACAAGAGTTTAATCAATCATGAACATTTGAACTTTCCCTGGCTGGTACAAAGATAAATAAGCGTTCGATGATAATTATTCAATCATTTTTCTGAACTATTTTTCAAAATATTTTTAACTGATACATTGCAACGGCTTTCTATTCTTTATTTTCCGATAATCTGTGACGATACGTAATAATTACGGATGGTTTCAATTTCAATTTTTTCAATTGTGAGCTCTCATCTCCAGATTACATTTTTTCACTATCAATATACTACTACACCAATAAGTGTATAAAATACTCTGAATTTAGGTATACATAACATAACTATTTCCACAGTGTAGTGAAAAACTAAAAATTGATTACCGATCATTCAACAAGATATTGCAAGATTTAATGGGTAACATGGAAATGGTTCATATTTTGTGACCTCTTTCATTCAACAATCAATATAATGTCAACCAGTCTTAGCTGGAATATACCACTAAGTGTATTGTAAATATTTTTCCTTCTTGAGGGATTTATCGAGCCTGGAAACTCATATATGGAAATAATTTCAAGCCTTCAAATTTTGCTGAAAATCTTATAAGTATTGGGGTCGATGGTTCACTAAAATACTTCATAGGCAGGCCATATTGAATTTTGATGCGCAGAAGTGGTGAACAAAAATAGAAGAATTTCAGCAAAAACTTGCAAAACAATGTGCTTTCTTTAAAAAAATTAGTCATGTGCACATCGGATGATCTGGAAGAAAAAACTAAAGTACACAATGAAAGCAGTGAAGGCTGAGCTCAGTAAACGGGAGGTAGCAGGGCTAAGGAGTTCAGTAACTGTGAGGAGACAGGGCTGAGGAACTCAGTAACCTGGAGGAGGCAGGGATGCGTCCACCCAGTCAACAACCTGCTTGTCGTACCAGAGGTACTCCCCACGAGGGGAGGACACGTTGGGAGGCAGCAGCGCCAGGTATGTAGGGCACACCGCCCCCTGCTCGACGGTCAACACGCCCTGCCACACATCAAACAATTACATTAATACACAATATTAATATTAAATACGATACTGACCCAAGAAAATGATATCATAAACAATATTTTGAGTGAAATACTAGAAAAATTATTCAAAAAGCTCTCTAAACAGAGCATTAAGCAAAACATTCTGCTGAGGTTTCATCAAAGCCAAACATTTTCATGAGGTATTACAGTAAAATTAATTGGACGAGTTACCCTGTGTGAGGTCATGTCTGTGTCAACATAGCCAGGATGGCAGTGGTTGACAACGATGTCATCCCGCGGGTCTTGGTCCAGCATGCGCTGCTGGATCCTGGTCAGCGCAGACACCCCCACCTTGCTGGCACCATAAGCTGAATTCTGCCATCCCAGCTCACCATGTTTGTTCTCTGCTGCAGCTCTGCAACAAAAGGTTTTTAATAATAACTCTCTAATTATATTCAGCATTGCAATATTCAGCTCTGCAATGATCTCAAGTCTGCAATGATATTCAGCTCTGCAATGATCTCAAGTCTGCAATGATATTCAGCTCTGCAATGATCTCAAGTCTGCAATGATGTTCAACTGTCTTTAGAGTAGTGAGAGGAACACTGAAATATTCAACTTGAGACAAACATCATAGAAGTTGATGGAGAATATATAATGTCCGAGTTGAATCATATGTTTGAGATACCTACTTGACAAAGTCATGCATGATGCCATCAAGTTCATCCTCAGTGAGGGTTGGGTCGGAAAGTTTCTTGCGGAGTTCTTCTCCGGGCACTTTGGTGAGATGACCCACACATGATGACACATTCACCACTCTGTTCATAAAATTTGATGTTTCAAATTTAATAAACTGGCATTATTTAAACATAAAAAATTTGTGATTTTGTGACAGAAATTTACATTTATGTTCTTGTATTTTAAAGAATATTCAGTTGAGTACAATTATTTGATAGCTTCAAAAGCGATTGTATTTTTTGTTATTTCATGGCTGCATCCAATAATAGTTGTATGATGTTTGTTTGTGTGGAAAAGTCATAAGCGACAGGCCAAAGAACTTTGATGGCATTATCAGTTTTAATTTTCAATGAAGTAAACTAGAGATTGATTGACATTTCATCAGATCTTAAAATTTTTTGAATGATGGGTTAAGGGTAACTTGTTGGAGGTTAGCATCAATCACTGGTTAGTAGTTTTAAACTTGGTGTTAATGGTCGCTTTTAAATATGACAAAAATAATGGAAAACAAATTTGACGTGCATGCGGTTTCTATATTGCATTATTTCTGCATTAGTATATATATGACTCCATGAACATGTAAGAACTACAGGGTGATTCACAGAAACTTCCTAATTTGAAAGCTCAACAACAAATAACTTGTAGTAAAGATATTACAACATAAATTTCATTGAAAAAGATATTACTTGAATGTTTTTATCACTTAGTTTCAAAGAAGACATCAAACATATGACAGCCCCTCTTGTCAATGTATTTAGTGGGTCAGTTTTTGAAGTTTTGTTCAACTCGCTGAAGCATATTGATGGGTATGGTGGCGATGGTTTGGCGTATGTTGTTCTGCTAATGCGGTAGGGTCCTTGGACAGCCATTGTAAACAACCAATTTAAGATAATCCTATAAAAAATCTCATGAAGCCAAGTCTGGGGTGGGGATTGGGTGGGCCAAAGAAGGTCACCTCTCAGGGACATGAGGCTCAATGCAAAATGTTGTCTCAGACGGAGACAACTCTACAAAATGGCCATGAGAAAAGTATGCTTTAACAGCAAATGCATGCTGCTAACCTTTCCAATGCATAGTGGCAACTCACTAGGAGACACTCAAAACTTCATGAACTTGCCTTCGATATGAAATACTCTCTGCTCTTTCCCTACAACATCTGGCTTCTTGGCGCAAATAAAAAAACAATAAGTTTCCACGAATCACCCTGTAACATCACATCACACTGCATGCACTTCAACTAATATTATAAAGTGCAGGCATAAAAACATGATGAGTAGTTCTGAATAAACATGCATTGCTATAACATTTAAGCGCAATGATTCATTTGTGCTGTAGTTTGCAACATATTAATGATTCACTGCTGCAGCAAGGATCTTGTCCTGGCATACACAGTTGCTCACGTGGAAAATTGTTTTTGTATTATAGATGACTAGTACTAAAGTTCTTGCTAATTGTTATAAAAAACTAATTAAAACAAATTTAACTTCCTAGGTTAGTAATTCAGGTGCAACTTACCGAGAATGGGGCCGCAGGAGAGGGAATAGAGCCTTGCACACGGCTTGCAAGCCAAAGTAATTCACACGGATAGTGTGCTCAGCTTGCACTCCAAATGGTTCTGTAGCATTGCCCTGAAAAATTTATATTTCAGTTATTAAACAACAACTGTGATTACTGTTTCCCAGCTTTAACAATAAACAAACACAACCAATTTGTTATAATAAAAGTCAGAATTTTACCAATAAATATTTCCTACTAATTGCAAATCACCAGATATCACTGCCATAGGTAACTATATGTAGGTAGGTATAGGTATACATATAATACAACTAATAAATGATCACCTCCAAACTGCTGACAAGTGTATTAATATGAAACCACAAAATTAACTCAAGAGTATTTCACAATTGTATACCAGAAGCAATTTTTTTTCAGTTGAAATGTAATCAGATATATTTTTTACCATTTATATATATTTAAGCTTCTGAAATAAATACAGCACGTTTTTTCAATTATGAACCATTTATTTTTGGGAGTGTACAAAAATACAGTTAATGGCAGCATTTATTCCCATAAAAGGAAAGCAGAACACATTTATATCTATGAAAATCTACAATCAGAATATATGCACACTCAGATAGAGTTGAGATTTGAAAAATAATATACATTTAAAAATTACTTTTTAAAGACAACACTTCCAAAGAATCCAGTATCTCCAATCTTGCAGATGTACAATGAATTTCTCATCTAATTTTCGAAAATTAAAGAAATTTACTTTTCAATTTTTATAATATATATAAAAAATTTTAATATATAAATTTTTTTCCAAATTATTTATTCTAATAGGATAAGTAGAAGTGTATTAAATTTTGATTACAAGATTTGTAGCAGACAGACAGACAGACAGACAGACAAGAAGTGAAGTTAAAGAGAAGTGTTGTAAAAATATAATAAATACCTACATACATGGGTGATGAATTCAGAAAATATTCTTCAACCTCTAAACCAAGTCTTACCTTGTATGCAATAGCAGCATTGTTGACAAGAACATCAAGACCGCCATGTTCCTTCTTGAGGAATGTGGCAAAAGTTTCAATGCTGGAGGCATCATCAACATCAAGGGGATGAAAACGAGGCTTGAGACCAGACTTGGCAAGGTCCTCCACTGCCTTGGTGCCTCGCTCAACACTGCGAGCTGTCAGGTAGACAATGGACTCACTGCCAACTGCTTCACACAGAGCCTTGACAGTGGCAAGACCTATGCCTTTATTGGAACCTGTCACCTGAACAAAGAAATTTGGGAAAAATTCATTTAAAAGGCAGCTTCAATGATTTTGATATAAATACAACATTCTGTTGTATATTTTTCTATTAAGACACTTCTGGAAACTTTTAAATGTATAATAGTTTGTGGATTGCAATAAAACATAAAGAGATACCTATAATGATTGAGCATTTGAGTTACTAAATGCTTCCTCATTAAGATATATAGATAAAAAAATCTAGTACCTGGCATATCAAGATGCCATTTAATGTAAATAAAAAATTTAATGTAAATACCGTAAAATGGGGTAACTTAGACCACTTTTTTTTTTATAAGTGATGCCATTTTTTTACTAGCTAAATTAAACAAGTTGCGGTCATGTCAAAGCGGTCAGACTGCATTAACGTGTGCTGAACTTACAGTAGACACAAATTTTATTGTTGCCGTTTGACTGTTTAAGGGTAAAATTAGAGATTTGGGGTAACATGTGCATGGACTTTGTAAATAAATTCGCACCTCGTAAATGGCTTTTCATGGCCGAGATATGGAACTCACGGCTTGGTGAAATGGAATCACGGCTCGTAGAAATGGAATCACGGCTGGCAAATCCATAAAATCACGGCTCAAAAAATTCAGTCGCGGCTCGCCAAGTAGATATATTCCATGCCCACCCGCCGGTCTAAGTTACCCCATTTTACGGTATATGACATTCTATAATCTATGCACAATTTTGTGATGACCGACAAATCGACGATGCACTAATTTTTTGACAAGTGAATTTTTTTTGCTGAACAAGGTAAATGTAATCAACATTCTTTGTTTTCAATCAATTTTTTTCTTAACTGGAGCCTTTGTCAACTGAGGTTCTACTGTAAATGCGTTTTTGGGGGTGTCCCGAATAGCCCCGGGGGGGTGTCCCGAGTAGCCCTGCCGTGCGGAAATGGTCACCATTTATTTTATTGAGGTATGTAAATTCCGCAAATAAAGTTTTCATGCTGACACTTATCTTTTTTACTACAGACCTTAGCAGAAGTAACTTTTCAAAATATTGTTTTTCACAATTTTTCCAGGAATTTTTCAGAGCTAGTAAATGTAGGTAGTATTTTTGAACTTCCTTTATACTACATAGATAGGAAAAATGTTGACATTTATGCCACTATATTTAGTTTTGCAATATTCCAATTAGTTTTGCTACTTAAACAGTTTTATGCCGTGTCGGAGGACTGTCCCGAGTTACCCTGCCCGTCCTGAGTAGCCCCGGTTGATGGTACTTAATAGGGTCATAATATAGATGAAATAGGCTGTAAGGTAAGTGCAGCCTGCAAGTATTTTTGTCTTGCACCAAGGTGGCTTCAGGTTAGTTCAGCAACTTCAGCCTAATAATCCAGATCCAAGAATATTTTAGGCTGAGTTTCTTAGTTTAACATTAGATATTTAACTTTTAATGAAATCTTCAAAAAATGGTTAGGTAGCAGCATAATAGCAGCTAAAAACTTATTTTTTTTAATAAAAATAATATTTACAGCACAAAATATGAAACCCACAGGCCACACCCACAGTGCAACAGTGGCACAGTCCACACTCAAATATTCATTTTATGCTATAAAAATTGATTAACTCATACTCTGATTACTCTCATAGCTCCATAAATTCTAAGACTAGCATCTAATGAACCAGATAAAAATTGTCAAAGTAGATTAGGTACCAATAGATTTTCACTATTTTTAACACTTTCTTGGTTCTTCTCTGTCCTCTCAATCTCAAGACTCAATCACTAGTCTCAATGTGTACATTGATTCATTGAATAATGTTTATTTCATCAAATATGTGACTGTGACTTAGTGGGGCAGTTGGATAAACCAGCTGCAACTGTACTATCCAGCTTGAAAGCTTTGGGCAGCTTTAGACTTTAGTAGGCAGTAGCGCGGTACGGTATCAACTATCAACCTCTAACTTCTCCAACTCCAAGGGGCAAACTCCGATCAAAATGACATCATTCAACAATTATAATATGGGTATAATTCCTATCATCATATGGTGTAGTTACTGTAGTATTCATAGGGCCTAGGGGTATAGGACTTAGATTCTATACAAGATAGATTTCTAAATTCTAATACCTAGGTAGGTATTACCGAATACCGTATTATAATGCATACTTTTGTATAGCATTACGACTACCTTATTCTACCTATAGGACTTAGATTCTAGGCAGATAGTTACCGATATTATTCATTAATAAGTTATTGCTCACCACAAAAATCCGGGAGGCCGACATCTTCTATTATAAATGTAATAAGATAAGTGAGATAAGGAGCTAGTAAGTCTCAGCTGCAGCAAAATCACTGGGACTGACTTCTGACGACTCACGAGTCACGACTGAGGCAGATCAAAATCATCAAATGATCAATCGGTTCGGTGGTTCACCGATCGTAGTCACTTTGTATAATCTCAGTTCGCAAATTAGTAGCGGAATGCCCAGCAAGTTTCAATTTTGGAGCAATGGAAGTTCAAACTCAGTTTAAGATTCTGTGTTGGAATTGCCTGAAACTTTGAACAAACGATGTTTTGACTTTTGAATATACATTCCTAATCACCCAACATTGATGTTTAGTTCGTTAACATTTCTTCGATTTCGCCTTCGTTTACGAGTTATACGGCTATTACTTTGAACTTTTGAAGTTGGAAACGACCGTCATTTCAGTGGCCGATTACCAAATTTGCTGTGAGCCTAATATGTCTACCTAACAAATTAATGCAGTTCGATGAAACTAGGCTATGCACATGCATTTATTAAGTCTTGTCTATTATATTTAGGTTTTGACCGTTTCTTTCGATTTTGCTTTCGTTTCGAAGTTGTGCGGTAACTTACGTTCAAATGATCAAATCTGTACTGTAGGATAAAAGACATTATTAGGCTCAGTGCGAATTTTGGACCGTTTAACTTGGAGACGAGGCATAATCGATAAAACGGTCGTGGCCTATGGTAAACAATCACTGTTACGTCCAATGTAACCAATTTACGAAGTTTCATCGAGTTGCATTCCATAGTTTGGGGGCATAGTGGCAAAGCAGCAATTTTTTTAGACTCTTCTTCAAGTTTATTTTTGAGTCCTATAAGTAGACTAGAAAGTATCTTGGATACCAGCATTTTCATACATAAGGAAATGATTAAAATATGGAGTAGATGAGGAAATTAAAAATGAACTGGTTCTAAAAAAATCTCTGGTTTGCCACTATGTTTGGGGGAAGATATATTAGGCTCAAGTCTCAACGAACCTTGGAGGCCGGCCGCAAGTCCGGCCATAGAAAATTAGAACTATAAGTGTCCGATAGCCTGATAGGTGTACGATTGTATCATGTCAACCACGCGATTGCATAGATCGACTTTTCCATGGTATCGGGCGTTCAGTGCACTTGCTGATAAAACAGCTTATCGCTGACACTTTTGCAACCGGTCAGCGAACATAAAATATCTCACGCAGTAATGAACGCAACTCGATGAAACTTCGCACGTGCATTCATTAAAACTTAACAGCGATGATTAAGTCGTTAGTTTTTGGATTTCACCTTCGTTACAGGCTTATACGGTCACACGGGCCTAAATTCCAAGTGAACATTAAATATTCTCCAAAATAAAGAACAGATTTGAACGAAACTCTGGACATAACTTCCTAATTACCTACTGTTGATGTTTAGCTCGTGCAAAAATGTTGAATTAGCCTTAAGCTTCATTCGCTACCTATTCGGCTATATGGAGAAGCTAACGTCATTGAAAATCATTGAAAATTTCAGTGTGTGACTTTTTTTCAATCAGATTCTGGAGTAGTAATAACGTCTAACTATAGGATACGAAAAATATTCATTTAGATATTGAATTAAGTTATTTGTCACATGACTTCGGTGTTGCTTGATTGAATGTGGACAGCCTACTGATGACTTCTGATCTTTACAGCCTCGTTCTTCAGAAAAAATCTGATTGTACGTAACTACTTGTTTGTTCATCGAAGTTATTAGAAGGTACAGCAATTGTTGGCAATTTAAAAACTTGCGTACGCAATATACATCTTCAATCGTAGTTTGGTATGACCAGTAGGCAAATTTCGTTTCGACGCTCCACACTCGTTTCTCTCCTCAGTCGCGTCACGTCGTCAACGTTTCCGACACCACAGCGACTTACAAACAGCTTGTGGACTGCTCAGTGGATCTACAGTTTATATAGGGATAGCATTTTGGGCCTCTCAATGACACGAAGTTTATTACAAAGCAAAGAACTGCCAAAACAATGACTTGCACAACCCATACTTACGCCATTCTCTCGGGTTCGTCAAGAGAGCATCCAGGAAGCCAGAAGGCCGCAGAAGTGTAATAGAATAGTAAACTGTTGATCTTGACCTTGCAAAATGATGAGTTGCAAGAAACGTGGATACAATTTTGTAAATTCAATTCTTAAAAGTGACTGTTGATTTTGATATGGCGGGTTCTTGTATGAAAAAAGTTATGTTGATTTATCGAAAGTTAAAAATAATATCATTGCAATTGATAATATCCTTGAATTTCATTGCAACTTATAAACGCATTTAATTTCACACTATCTGCCTAATTACGATAAAAATTATTCAGGCTAATTGTACCATTATGAATAATAGCAGTTATTAATCCTACAAATTATTCACACTAAATATACCACTATGAATAATAACAGTTCTGTGTGGTTTTTATTACAAGTACAAAAGTACTCTACAATTAGGTCAACTCTCAGGCGACCAATTTCTGTGCGTGGTGATGACAGTATTACTATTAGTGCAATGAGAGTTAATAATTGGATGCTATATAAGATATCTATGCGTGACGAATCGCATCACGCATCTATTCCAATTGTTAATTAGTTTTTAGCACAAGAAACTGATACATCGATATTTTTACTGATCATTCTTTTATGAGTTCGGAATTATTACGGACACCCAGACACATTCTTTATTCAAATTAGGAAGGATTAAAAAAGGTACTCCATTCACTTCCCGCCAGTTAAAAAAGCACTCGAATCAGTAAACTTGGAGCATGACTTGCAATATTGCACCATTAAACTGTTGCTTGAAAAATCTCTACGGGCTTTATCAAGAATAACTCTTGACGCCGTGCCTTATTTCTACATCGAAATAATAACTCTTATTTCCCTGCGAAAATTAAACTAAACTGAATATTCACAAAACTAAATGTAAATGACATAAATTTAACAAATAGCCTACCACTTGATAATTTTTGTCATAACCATTTTGTTGTTTTGATGTTTCACATCATCATATCATGTTTCAAATAGATGCAATTATCTAATTTTGTTCAATACTGTGTATACCATATTGGTATACACATGGCCGAGGCTAATGTCGGTTTTTGATATTTTCTTAAATTTTATTTTGATAACATGGCCCTACGACTGATAGTCTGGTGACGGAATTCTACATTGAAACACCAGTTTTGGGAAGAGTTGATATGTTTGGATTGTGAGCAATCCATTCACCTAAAATTAGGGGCGAATAACCCCAATCTACAAAGGAGTTACGAGAGACAAACCCCAAAATTATAAACCGGTTACATTAACATCACATGTGATGTAATCAAGGTATTTGAGAAGGTCGTGGCCAGAAGGTTGGTGCAGTACATGGAGGAGGCTGCATGACCTTTTCAACAGAAGGCAACATGGTTTTAGACGAAATCGTTCTTGTTTGTCTGAGTTACTGGAGCATCACCACCAAATCCTTGCCATGCTGGAGGAGGGGGCCGGGGTGGACGTGTTGTATTTAGACTTAATGGATTAATTGTCCCTTTAACTAGGTGTGGAAGCTTTTTGGTTGAGATTTGTTGTGCATACCATATCCTTTTTTACAGGTCTTCCTATAGTAAATCGATATACCTACTTGAGTACCTATGGTTTACGTAAGAGTAGGTACAAATACCTTGTACCTCTTCACAGCTATAAAAGTAGTTAGACCTAATTATATGTACCTAGTCTTGTGGTTAGAGTTGATACAGATACTTCTACCCTATTATGGGTTGAACAGTAGGCATCATAACTTGTGTATCTACTCTTGACAAACTAATGATTACAGATACTAGTATATATCATCTCACAGGTATACAAGTAGGTTAATATCCTTGTGTACCTGCTCTTGACAAAAAAGTAGGTACAGATAATCGTAAATATGCCCTCTCACAGATATACAAGTAGGTTTATACACTTGTGTACCAACTCTTTATAGCTAAAAGTTTTGTGCGAAATTTGGAGCGGGTTGCATTGCACTATCAAAAGTCCGGCAGCATTTTGTTGAGCCGCAATTTTAAGCATAAATTTTTTCATATCGATACCTGATGGATATTAGAATACCAGAAGAATCAAACAGTAGCCCGACATCAACCGACAGACGATATCTGAACCCCTCATCTTTTCGCATTGAACTCCAGCTAGTTGTCTGAACCTTGAGATAGTTTTTAGAGTAATTTTTCTGGTTAAAAATACTATTGTTGTATACTATTCAAGTATATTATGTATTTGTTTCAACTAAAATTTTAATATTTAATGTTTTTTTTTTAATTTAATGTTGCATTCGAAACGTCGTTGGTAAGCTGTGACAACTTCCTGAAACAGGCCTTTCGATTTGCCAACGTCATCTGAAGAATAATCGACTCTCTGATAATTTAAACATACGAACTTTCTGGTCAACAATCGCACGTGCATAAACAAGCAAATTCTGCCGTCTAATACTAATATTAGAATATTAGCATGTTTGTGTGTCACAATTTACAGGGGCTGTTGAAGCACTTATCCGCAATACAGAATTCAATGATACGTCAGGGAATTATTTTAATAATACATAATGTTAAAATTCTGAATTCTGTTACAAAATTTTTCATGTTTCTACGTGCCATATGTAGCGCTCTAAATTTAAGAGCTGTTGGGGCACGTATCCAGTATACTTATCGTGTCAGAATATTGTGTATAGGGGCTGTTGGGGCGCGTGTCCGGGATAATTGTGTCGTGATATTGTATATAAGGGCTGTTGGGGCGCGTATCCAGGATACTTAACATGTAGGGATATTATCGGGACATGAAATTAAATTTGCAATCGTACAGTGCAAAACTAGTAACGGGGGGTAAATTAAAAAGTATGATTTTTAATGTTATTTCTTAAAAGCATTTAATTAAATTCTAATAAAAATAATAGGTTTAAAGTTTCCATTAACTTTCAAAATGCGATTTAAAACTGGCTCACGCTAAGCATCAAAAACGAACATAGATGTAATGTCTGAAAGTAACTTTGGATAAGCTTAATCACATTGCACTGCACTGACAAAGCAAAAATTTGTCTTCATTTGAGTAAACATCTTTGGTTTTCTCAGTTGAATATAGATTACTTTTATAACACTTTCGTTTGTTTCCCTAAATTCATGACTTTTATTGCACTTTTCCCAAATTTCAAGATATTTGTTCATGATATTTAAATTTACGAAGATGACCATTCAAGAGCGTCTCTTCATGAAGCTTGAGACGTTATTAATTAAAACTCATATCTGAGACGTCATTAATGAAAACTCTTATAGAATAGAATTGCAGTGTCGGCATTGAAGAAATAGGCCCATGGCCTGTTGCCGATTCTTGAACTTTTCATGACTTGATTCACAAGGGATCCGGCCTTTGGAACCCGATCTTTCCATAACAGACGATTGATTGAGATAGCTGCTTGACTTACTGCCTGGTCCGTAATTTGCTAGGCATTTTAAGACTGAACATATGCTCCTGCATAGCTTCATCTAGTCTGTTTTTGAAGATGTTCATACTCGGAGCGTCAACGATGCTATCAGGGAGGCTGTCCCACATGTCGGTGACTCGAAGCGAGAAAATATGTTGTCGCGTGGATGTGTTCCAACGCTGTTTTTTTAGTTTATAGCCGTGGCCCCTGGTGTTGGTTCTTGTTTCAAATTCTAGTAATCCTTCGTGGACCTTGAATAAGCCATGAGTATACTTGTATGCTTCAATGAGGTCACCCCGCAGACGTCGATAATGGAGGCTTGGAAGCTTCATAATCTTTAATCTTTCTTATAGGACTTGCTTTTCAAGCCTGGAACTAACCTTGTTGCGCGTCTTTGAACAATCTCTATTAAATTTCTGTCCTTTTCAAATTTCGGTGACCACACGACGTTTCCAAACTCTAGGGTCGGGCGCACTACAGCAACAAACAACTGCTTCATCGCTTCTGCATCTATAGGAACTCGAAAGAGCGTCTGCTCAGTCCAAGTCGTTTATTGGCTTTCTTAACTTGACCTTCAATATGCTCAGAAAATTTCAACTCATTGTCGATATTAAATCCTAAATCTTATCTGAGACGTCATTAATTAAAACTCTTATATTTGACGTCATTAATTAAAACTCTTAACTGAGATGTCATTAATTAAAACTCTTATCTTTGACGTCATTAATTAAAACTCTTAACTGAGATGTCATTAATTAAAACTCTTTTCTTTGACGTCATTAATTAAAACTCTTATAATTAAGACGGTCATAATCGTAGCCGGTGCCAGGCGGTGACGGGGTAGTGGGTGTTGAGGGAGCGTCCCCAGTGGGACAGGGTGACTGGTCTGGGGCTGATAGACTCCCCCTGCACGAGGGGAGGGTGGTCGTAGGTACCCAGGTAGAGTAGGGGGCCTAGCACCAGCCTCCCTATCGTCACCTCGTGGATACTGCGACCGCAGTGAACCTTGCGGAGAAACGATATTTTTAATATAGAAAATAAGAGGATATTGTGACATTTAATATATAATAATAATCAATAATTATTTTTTAAGGAAAAAAAGGGTGCAGTTAACGTTTGAACCCATAATTAACACGTAATTAAATACATTATATTATATAGGGAAGTTAATGATATATATTATTCAGCAGGGCGAATGAAAACTTTATTAACTATTGTGTTTTGACCCATTTTATAAAACAGGAATATCTCATGGATACACAATAGGATTTTAAAGTTACTTATGATACATAACAAATTAGTATTTACTAATTTTTGCATATGAAAATGAATTTACGTTTTGGTAATTTTCAGATATAGGAACCCTGTAAATCTGTTCACAATGGCAGTATTCATAAATAATAAATTAAATTTATCTAAAGTTTTTGCACAGTTTTGGATAATACTTCATGTGAACTCTAACCGTTTTAACCCTTCTAATTTCGTCAACCCTCGTTACCTGGGCCTATACTTTCAAAAAAGTTAAGAGATCGTAAGTTCATCAGCCAATCATTGACGGCCTTTTAAGCCAAATCCACCAATCATAGACAAGAAAATAGAGCGTAAGTACTTACGTTTACTTAGCGAGTTTTGAAAGTAAAGGCACAGGCCTTTACATATAAATAGCATTGACGACGGTTAATTTATCCGAAGACAAAGTTAAGCTTCTATTTATTGACAACAACTCTTGTTTTCAAACCTGTGGGTAGCTGAAGTATCAGGTACGGTTAACGTACGTGGAATTCAAAGTGATAACATTTTTTGCTTCAAAACCTTAAGATAAGGTAATTAAAAACCGTAAGATAAGATAATTCAAACCTTAAGATAAGATAATTTAAACCTTATGATAAGACGATTCAAACCTTAAGATAAGATAATTCAAACCTTGTGATTAGACGATTCAAACCTTAAGATAAGATAATTCAAACCTTAAGATAAGATAATTCAAACCTTATGATAAGATAATTCAAACCTTATGATAAGACATTTCACAACGTTAAGATAATTCTTGTTTCAAAACCTCAAGCTAAGATAATTTAAGCCTTAAGATATATAACTCCTGCTTCAAAACCTTGAGATAAGATAATTCAAACCGTAAGATAATTCATGCTTCAAAAACCTTAAGATACGATAATGTAAACCTTAAGATAATCATTGCTTCAAAACCTTAAGATAAGATAACTTAAACCTTAAGAGAATTCATGCATCAAAACCTTAAGATAAGACAATTTAAACCTTAAGATAATTCTTGCTCCAAAACTTTAAGATAAGATAATATAAACCTTAAGATAAGATAATATGAACCTTAAGATAAACTTTTTTTCGCGACCTTACGATAAGATAATTGAAACCTTAAGATAAGATAATATAAACCTCACGATAATTCATGCTTCAAAACCTTAAGAAAAGATGGTATAAACTTAAGGAAATTCTTGCTTGAGAACCGTCACCTTGATGACGATGCACGCCCTGTGCTGCTCCTGCTTGGGGACGAAGAAGGTGTAGGACGCAGCGAAGTTTGGATCACACGTCAGCGGCATCGGCATCTTCGTCGTCACTTCTTTGCTCACTTTCTCGCCCGCGATCCAGAGCGCGATACTGCACCACACGTCCGTCCGGTCTGACGCGTCGAGCATTATTGATGTTATTTGATGTTGTTTTGAGACTTTAAATAATAATAATTAAAGGTTGTGTCCACTAAATATTCACCGCTGCACCACACGTCCGTCCGGTCTGACGCGTCGAGCATTAATGAAGTTATATGATGTTGATTTAAGACTTATAATAATAATAATTAAAGGTTATGTCCACTAAATATTCACCGCTGCACCGCACGTCCGTCCGGTCTGACGTGTCGAGCATTAATGATGTTATTAAAAGTTGTTGAGCTGTATTATCAATACATATACTCTACTGTAATGCGAGAAATTTCGACAACTTCTTAATGAGCAAACAAACAAAAGCACATTCAAGTCCCACACTCAAAACATGCAGGGGTCGTTGTCCAATCCCCTTAATCCATTTCTCGCCCTCCTAATCCATGGCAAACTGGGTCAGGATGACTCACACGAGAGCATAGCGTGCATCGCTATTATAGGACAAAGATCATTCGCTCATTCGCTCTGCATAAAGCACCAACTTCACGAGTGTCATGTAAAGTTAGCGCGTCAACAAATTCTAAAATAAGTCCTTTACCCTTTAATAAAAGATTTTTAGTAAATGCAAAAAAAAAATAATAAATTCACAATTCAAAAATTTACCTCAACCGGCATAACTCAACGTAAAATTGAGCATCAAAAGCTATTATATTAGCCACGTAAATTCTTTTAAAACATCTCATAAAAAGATAAAAATAAAATACATGAAATCACCTCACCTTTATCGTGCAAAGTCTTGGAAGCTTTTTTGGCGATCCAGTGGAAGTTTGGCTTGACGAGGCCGTGCGAGCGCAGCACCTTGAGCAGCAGCCCGCGGGTGCCCGTGCTGCGACTGCTGCTCACGCTGCTGCTGATCAGGCTCACCTCGAGACTGCCCAGCTCGTCGTGGATCTGGCAACGAGACAGGGTTAAGACATACTAATTGTTTGGAGGGTATGACATTGCCCAGCTCGTCGTGGATCTGGCAATGAGACAGGGTTATGATATAAGAATTATTTGGAGGGCATGAGACTGCCCAGCTCTTGGTGTGCTGGGCAGTCTCATACCAAACTGGCAACGAGACGGGGTTGGGACATACTAATTATTTGGGGGTGTGAGACTGCCAAGCTCGCCGTGGATCTGGCAACGAGACAGGGTTAAGACATACTAATTATTTGGAGGTTAGGAGACTGCCAGCTCGTAGTGGATCTGGCAGCAAATAAAATTTATTGAAAGCTTTCAAGACAAGCTGCAATTTTTTAGTGATCTATCTATTATATAATAATAAGAAAATAGTTGCATTACCTTCATTGTTAATTACTATCGAGTTTATTGAAATTGTTTAAAAGAATATTAATATAAATCTCTTTACTTATATGATAATGGTGATCCCGAAAATCAATTACCATGTTGTGCACAATCATTTTGTTTTATCATCGAAATGTGATTCCAATTATTGAAAATTCGGGACATTCGCTGCAACGAAAACTTTATAAACTAAAAATTAGTTGGTTTAAATTATTTCTTCCATAAACCTAATATGAGCAAAAATTTACCATCATGCTACATTTTATCTGAAAGCATTTTTAGCGCATTTTTTCATTTATGGAAACAAGGCGCTATGGTGCTCGTCATGTCCATCCGTCCGTGACTCCACGTCAGGACGGACGAGAAAATGCGCTCTCTGTCACTCACGCAGTGAGTACTGATCTATTTTTTACATAGATCGATTATTCATTCAGGGTCGATTATAAATTTTTAAAATAATCAATCCTGGTAGCGCATGATTCGCAGTTTTGTTTACCTTAGTGTGCCCGAAAAGCCCGATTATTCTAGGCAGGTTATTATCTTCAACCTTGAGGGGCACCAGCGCATGACCAATGGCTGAGTAGCGGGGATGGTCTCGACAGCCTGACCAGACCGTGACCAAGACCACATGATGGTTCTTTTTACCGCTGGGCTCGTCGGTGAGACTGGAGCTCGAGCTGAAGGACTTGATTGAAGAATTGGACTTGACGTGGTCATCAGCTCGGGACTTGGTGTGATGCTTCGAAAGCTTTACGGTCACTTCTCTCTGAACGGAATTGTTAAAAACTTATTGTTGTAAGTCATTAACTTTATTAACAAAAACGTTGAAAAGTTCACCATTCATATTTACTAAAAAAATACTTGGAATTTTGTATATAAGTCATTTGAAAAGTCTTAGTGAGAACAGAAGCTTTCTATGGAAATTTAGTCATAAGCATGAAGACTGTTTTAGATTCAAGGTAGTAGTTGTTGGTCGAAAAGTAAAATAATGGGTAGAGGTGCGTTGAAGATTTTTGTCAGTTTCTACTTGCAATATCTATTACGCAAGACTTCCTGAATAAAAATTTCTATTTTTCTACTATTATGACATTCATATATTTGAGTGAGCACCTCAAGAAGTTGAACCCCGGATTCAAATGTTTAAGAATTTTGCACCTTTTTTTTAAATTTCTTGCCATGTTTAAATTCAACGATAGACATTTACCGCAAATTAGTAAAGACAGCAATTAATGCAGACTAAAACTAGTACAGACTACAATTAATACAATCTATAACTAGGACAGACTACAATTAATACAGTCTATAACTAGGACAGACTTTAATTAATACAGTCTATAACTAGCACAGACTACAACTAGTATAGACTAGACAACTTTTATAGACTCTGAAACTGGTACAGACTACAACTAGTAAGACGACAACTACCAGAACTCAACGAGAAACAAGAAAGTATCACTTACCTGGACTGGTATCTCGGCGCCCTTAGCATTGGGCAGGAAGACCCAGTGGGCCTTGTATGATGTGTTCAAAACTTTCACTTCCACTGAAAGTCCGTCGCTTGACCCCACCCACGGCACGCCACGCAGCTGCGTTAGTAGGATGCTTGCTCTGGGGAAATTATATTCATTAGATTATTAGAATTCATAAATCTAATCCGTTATTATGGATTAGATTAAACTATTTATTTAAGATTAAATTTTTTCTGCCAAGGTAACGTTCTTGCAAAGTTTTTTTTGGTCAAGGTGGGATAGCCAAGCGGTTTTGAACACCAAAATTGTAGCAGCGAGTTGGGGGTTCGAGACGCGCAGCTAGCTGTGAAAATTCTGTGATGTTCCGAATCGGTACAGGCCTGATGGCCTCGTCTTCAATGCTTACTCTTTATATTATTGAGTTATTATTATTATTACTAATTATTATAAAAAGCTCTCGCTATTTAATAATAATGGAAACATAGTTGTTTATACTTCCTCCTAATGCCCCTCCGGTTTTTAGTTAATTGGTGTTCTTAAATTTTGCGAAAAATAAATGGAACATTACTATGTTGGATTTAATTAGAGGCTAAATTTTTTCTAATTTCCCGCACAAGTCAACGACTGAAGTCCAACAACAGGAATCAATGTTCTATGGTAAACATTTTCCGGGCTTAAAAATTATCTATAAAGCTTGAATGAAATGCTCGTAATGCACACCGTAGACTTTATAGAAATTATTTACAGGAAATCAAAAAGTCCATTGAAATTAAGCGTGTGTTGATGATTTATTTTATGAGCTTGCAAATATTTCCAGAGAGTTATTTTCGATAATTGGATTTATTAAATTTGATTTTTATGAAGTTTTAATGGAAAAAATAACGAATTTCAAATTCACGATACACGAATTTACTAAAAATTAATTTTGAGAACTTGAACTAAGAAAATTGTAATTAGCGTCGTAGGGTTTCACGAACTGACGACGAATTTCAGTTAATTTATGTAAATATCGTAAGTTCCCGGAGTGCCAGGTTAAATAAAATCAGCAAAAAATATTTGTATAAAATAAAAATGAGCCAGCAAATAATGACGCCTTAGGACACTACGTATTGTTTTTTCTTTCGAGACTTTTTGTCTCGATTTAATCATGGCAATGAATTTAAGTTAATTAGGAAAAATACCGTAAGTTCCACGAATGCCAGGTTAAATAAAATCAGCAAAAAATATATTTATAAAATAAAAATGAGCAAGTAATTGAAGTCGCCGTAGAATACTATTTATATGTTTTTTTCTTTCAGTCTAGTCATGAATTCTTTTCGATTCGAGAATGGTTTTGAATCTTCAATTATTTTTTAATAAAAACATGCTTTTCGAAAATGCGCCTATGTTTGAAAAATTTTTCAAAAATATTCCGGTAAATCCAATAATTCATTATAGTGTTCCTTAGGTTACGAGTCATAAAGAGACTTACGATAATTTTTAAATAATGACACGATAATTTTTAAATAAATAATAATAAAAAAATAATGATAATTTTAATAATGACTTACGATTTGTCATTAATTCGTCGGGTGCTGACGATGATAGACCCGAAGCACTCGTCGTAGGGGTCGTCAGGGCTCTTCCCTTGACGACTATCATCACCATCATCGTAGTCTTCAATATCATCGGTATTTTCTACGGGTATGATCATCTCTGTAATACCACTTGAGTCATCCCCTTCATCATCATCGCAATGATACAATAACTTCTGGCAATGATACTCCCCTGAAAATAAGTAGCAATTTAAGCGTGTGACAAGAGATGCACATGTTTCCTTTCTCTGTTAGTGGAGGCAAATTTACACTTTATTCCAGCACATATGTTTTCAATAACTTTTTATTGCTCATGCACACAAGTTATTGTCTGTATTTACATAGATATTCATACCTGAATTTTTAATAATAATTTTATCGCTAACTTATTTTACAGAGCAATTACAAATTGCACAGAAAAATAATTCATAAAAAAAGCTACTAAAAAATGATATTAGTGGAAAATATTAAAAAAACAGCTAAGCAATTTATTTATATGCAAAAGTCGAGTGATTTTTTCATATAACAGAATTTATAAAATATTTACGAACTTTTTAGTAAAAACTAGTCTTTTGCTCTGAAAATCATAAGCTAAATGAATGGTTGAGAAACTGAAGTTTTTCAGAGAGCAAGAAATATCTTGCTAAGATTACCGAGTATGAAACCGGCGAGAAAATTCGGCTGAAGATTTCAAGCAATCTTTAATTAATTTAATTAACACCATTCACAAGCGTTTCAAAATCATTATTGAATTGAATTTTAGCAAGTCATAAGGTAATTTTGTAAAGTACGCACGAAAATTTTCCAAATTATAAGGGTAATGATAATGATTGACTACGTGTACAATATAAAACACGCTATACAATGTAATGACAACTTTGATAAATGGTGAATTAAATGATAAATGCCATGATGAGTCGAAATAAGAATGCAACATTTCAATACTTTCAGGATTTATCATCTAAACATATACACCATTAATCAAAGGCGAATTCATACGCGTATTTTACAACCGAAAGAGATTCATGACTCCATCAACAAAAATTCATAATTAACATATTAATATCCGTACTAAATCAAAGTCGTAAAATAGAACGTTTCATTTAGCTACTGACCTTCTGTCTACAATATTCTCGTTTAAAAATTCATATATAAACTTAAAATAAATAGTTGATTGTCCTAAACGGCTGACCGGAAAACCTGTCAATATATAAAAGTGACCATCGAGAAGCGTTAGGTTAACCTGCTGGTTATACTCAATTATTAAGCAGCGTCAGGTTAACCTGCATGTTATGCATATGGTACAGAGGTCACTGTTTAATCTCGGAATCTAACAGGGTTTAAAGAAAATCAAATAGATTTTCTTATACTTATATTCTTATAATAAGATTCTTATATACAAATATGTGAGGAGCCAAATCGATCTAACGTAGGTACAAACGGAAATAAAAGTGATCCAACGTATAATATAGAGATGGAAGTTTAACATTACCTTCCATTTACAGCACACAATTAAATTTCACAGACATGATGAACAGTCTAAAGATGAATCAAACAGTATTAACGTAAAATACACACGAAAAACCGGATCAACTTATCTAAAAGATCAAATGATCTAAAAGAAAAAATAATCTAACAGAGCAAATGATCTAACAGATCGAATGGTCTAACTGATCAAATGATCTAACTGATCAAATGATCTGATAGATCAAATGATCTAACAGATCAAATGATGTAACAGATCAAATGATCTAACAGATCAAATGATGTAACAGATCAAATGATCTAACTGATCAAATGATCTAACTGATCAAATGATCTAACTGATCAAATGATCTAACTGATCAAATGATCTAACTGATCAAATGATCTAACCGATCAAATGACAGGATACTTAAAATGCAGTGTGCGTATATATAGAATGTACAGTGTGCGTATATATAGAATGTACAGTGTGCGCAGAAATCTAAGATATTTAACATATATACAATATACGTTGAAATCGAATAGATCTATTGTACATCACACGCAGAGAGCAAAGAGATTCAATATACAATAAAAAATCTAGCAAATTTAATGTAGCATAAACGAATTGAAATAATTTCCATTGAACTTACAACAAATTATCTTTGCTTCGTAATAGTTTACTTGCCACTATGATGCTTAGTTTTGCTTACTTCCTCGATGGCGACTTGTCGTCGGTTCAACATAAATCACTTTCAGAAGGCATATACATATACATATTAATTGGAAAAGGAATTGTAACCTACTTCGAAAATTATCATACGAGTTTTACCGTTCATTGCCTAAAAAATTCGAATCCAAGATGAATAGGTAATAAGAACGGGATATTGTTTACATAACCTATGCTAGACCAAAGCGAAAGAAAAAAAAAAGTATTCAAAGATCAGTCCGATAACCATAGACCAAGGTTGCATCAGAGACCTTCATTTCTATAGCCAAAGACCAAAGTTGTTTCAAAGAGCCTAATCTCTATAGCCAAAGACCAAAATTATTCCAAAATATAACATTGCTCATATATCTGTACTCACCATTAGAGTGATATTCTTGCTGAACTTCTTTACTGGCCATTTGGAGCGTGTCCCTCTCGCTGAAGCGCGTGCTGATTTTCACTTGTTCTTGGTGACGCTGGAGGGGCTTGACCAGCGCCATCATCTCCGTGTTGTTCTTGTCATCCTTCTGCCAGACAAGGCGTTCGCTCGAGTAGTAAGGCTTGGACAACGTAGGGCAGGGACCCGTGGGAGGCGGCGCGATGAAGGTGTTGTAGTTCGGGTCACCGTCTAAGGAGTCGTCCGAGTTAACTCTGATGAAGGAGAGCGGTGCGTGGGTGGTTAATTATCGCAGATATTCATAATAATTTTCGTTGAGATATATTGGCTAAAAAACTGCAGCGTTATTATCTGTAACCAGTGTTCCATTGGATTGGTTTGCGGTGTTCTAGGTAGTCTGCGGCTTTTGGCTCTAAGGCTGAGAGTAGTTTTTATTTGTTATCTGGACATTGGCTTCAGGACTTAATATAATAATAATAATAGCGGTTTCAGCATTTATTAGGCCGTAGGCCTGTCGCCGATTCTTAACATAGCAGAACATTCACAGTATTTTTCGGTCTCGAACTCGCAACTCACTGCTTCAATTCTGCTGCGCTTAACCGCCCGGCCTCCTTGCCGATTCTGACCAGAAACTGGCGCACAGAGCTGGGATCGAACCCGCGCCTCTCTGCTCCAATCCTGGTACTCTGAACTTTAACCACTAGGCCACCCTGCCTGCTTGATTATTATTTAAGAGTTAAATTTGTCGCCTACGACTGCGCCATCCGAAAGCAGTAGCAAAATCACTGGTGATTGCATAAGTTATAGGATAAGTTAGTATTATTATGACAGCACTAGTGACAGGATCAGTGTCAGCAGACCTGGATATCCTCCTGACAGCGGTGTTGAAGGAAGCTGCCACCAGCAGCTCCGTGGCTGTCAGCGGACGCGGCTGCTGACACCAGTACCAGCAGCACAGACAACTCCCCATCTCTTGCTGGTATTCCAGTATTTTGATTTATTTTCTATATTTTCCGCATCTATGCTATGCTGACGGTTCGTCAAGTTTATTTATTTTGAATGTAAAACTATTTTGTTATTGGATCCACCTAGCAATTATATTTAATATTCGTTTTAGCCATTGCTCGGATAATTATTAAGCGAACATTTTAAATGATATTTTTGTAGATACATGAAAAATTCTAAATGGGGTTCCAAATAAATTAATAGGTCCCTGGAAAATATTAATTAAATTACATCAATTCCCAATGAAACTCATGATTTTGTGTAAATTTTCGATCGCTTCTGTTCGTCTAGTCTTTGATCAATTGACCGCTTCAGCTTAAGCTAGAAATTGACCAAATTTGAACTAGTGGATCTTTATATAGATAGAATTAATACGAGCCTTTGAAAACATTTCGTATTACCAGCTTCTTCTGCAACAATTTTAATGATATCCGTCGTATTTGTCTGTTACCTGACAAAATTACTCATTCTGAAAAATGAATAAGTTGTAATGTCCAAATAAAAACACAGTTTCTTAGTGAACGGACGTGTATCACTAATTCTTCCTTTATCTGTCACCAGAAGATTCAGGACGACCCACGCAATGGCCAAAAGCACATTGATATTTGGACAAAAAGTCCCACTCATTTCTACGACTGAAAGGTCACTGCTCAGCTGGCAATCAGCGGCTGAAAATATTAATATTAATGTCGTGTTTCAGGTGCGCAGTTCCCTACCGGTGACCCCGCGGCGCGTGATTCTGGAATCAGACGGGCAAGGATGTCACAAGCATTGTCCAAAAGCGCATCGATATTTGGACAAAGATCTCCTCATTTCTATGAGTGAAAGGTCACCACTGCTCAGCTGGTAATCAGCGGCTGAACCGGGCCGTATTTTCAGGTGCGGTTGGCCGCCTAATTTACGTGCGGCGCGGTGGCATTACTCACCACCGCGGCCCACACCTGCGCCCTGGTATGACGTCACCCACCGTCTCATGACGCTCGGGCCCCTCATTGAAACTTGACAGGCGGACATTCGATCGTACGACAACAACATGGCAGAATTTGATCATTGGCAGAATTTGATCATTACACTTACACACAACAACATGGCAGAATTTGATCATTGGCAGAATTTGATCATTGGCAGAAACAGCACGCAGACTAGTCACAGCACGCAGACTAGTCACAGCACGCAGACTAGTCACAGCACGCAGACTAGTCACAGCACGCAGACTAGTCACAGCGCGCAGACTAGTCACAGCGCGCAGACTAGTCACATCACGCAGACTATTCACAGCGCGCAGACTAGTCACAGCACGCAGACTAGACACAGCGCGCAGACTAGTCACAGCACGCAGACTATTCACAGCACGCAGACTAGTCACAGCACGCAGACTAATCACAGCACGCAGACTATTCACAGCGCGCAGACTAGTCACATCACGCAGACTATTCACAGCACGCAGACTAGTCGCCGCACGCAGACTAGTAGCAGCACGCAGACTAGTCGCTGAACGCAGACTAGTAGCAGCCTGTTGATAGGGAATACTAAACTAGTTAAACACCCGCGCTAGCTAATAAACATTGACTAGTTCAAAATACAAATTCTATTCAGCCGCAAAATTCATGTCACTTGATCACATGCATGAGTCATTGCATTCAGATCCACGTGTCACGGCCCGGCATGCAAATGACTAGGATTAGAATTTAAAAGTTTAATCCTTGCATCGGTCTCCTCCTATTGTTCACTGGAATTATTTTTCGGGAAATTTTTCATTTATTATAACAAACTTATAGTTGTCGCAAAAAATTTTGAGCCCGATATTTTTCACTCTGTTTTATGCATTTTGAACATTTTTTTCTCTCCTTAGTAAGACCAAAGAAAATATGAGCTCAGCGTACATTTAGAACAATGATAACGAATAGGTGTGGTAAAATTTATGCTTCTATATATACACGTCCGTCGGTCTAATGACTCTTACGCAATACGTGCTTTAGAATTTTTTCAGCAAAATAAATTGGTGAAGAAATTCATCGTTGTAAAATTACAACGAAAGCTTTTAAAGAAATCTCTTTGAATAAAATTCTGTTTTCAACACACTGATCATTTTTCCGGTCAAATTCTTTTAACGTATATTAATCAATTAGCGCTCAAACAAGCGTATATGTACTTGCATATATATGTAGACAGTAGACTATTATATGTATGTTGACCATTAACAAACTAATTTATAAAACGACCACTTCTAGGTCAAAAGATTACCTAAAAATTAAGTGGGGCCAATTTTTTCGTAATATAATTATTTTGAGGATTATAGATTGACAAACTCGTATATACGGTTACTGTTTGTAGTTCTATTGATGCATCGGATAACCGAAATATTCAAAGACCATCAATAGTGATGCCCTCAACATTTTTTTTATTATTCAACTTTGTAATTTATATAAATTATTTTTTTATTCAGGAATAACAAAGCACCGGTGAAGCTTAAATTACGCCGAGTTTCAGACATAAAAGTATACATAAGTCGTAAAATCAACACAAAAAATTAATTAGAATTAATTAGAATTAGAACTCTAAATAATTGTAATTAAAATAACTATCTTTCTAAATGTGCGCTACAGAGGAAAACACGAAAATAATTACGAATAAGTGTGAAAAATCATATTGAACTGTGAATTTTCGCCCGATTCAAAGGTATCATCAAAACATGCCCTAGTCTTAGCCACATATATAGACACCACTTGCACATATCGGAAGAACCGACAATCATGCTAAGCATTTTCTGATGTATCATTTCTCGTTACCATCAAATGATCTGCATTTCAAACGTAAAATATTCACAAAATTCACATCTTGCCTTCACAAACACCCGCGTGTAAGGGTTGCACTGCACTGACTGCTGGTGAGAGCAGCAGGGTTAGTGTAGAAGACACAGCTGCACGCAACACTTGTAGCAAATATCCAATGTGTGATCTGTGTCGTGGTTAGCTGCTGGCCCTCATGCTTCAGTTAGGGAAGTGCGTGAGATGCCGAAGCACTTTATTCGCCATAAACGGCAAACTCTTCACTTTATTCGCTATTCACGAGACACTATACACTTTGTTCGCTATACACGGCACACTCTACACTTTATTCGCTATATACGACACACACTACACTTCATTCGCTATACACGGCACACTCTACACTTTATTCGCCATACACGACATACTCTACACTTTATTCGCTATACACGGCATACTCTAGCTACACCTTATTCGCTATATACGACACACTATACACTTTATTCGCTATACGCGGCGCACTCTATACACTTTATACGCTATACACGGCACACTCTATACTTAATTCGCTATACACGACACACTCTACACTTTATTCGCTATACATGGCACACTCTGTACACTTTATTCACTATACACGACACACTCTACACTTAACTCGCTATACACGGCCACTCTAAACTTTATTCGCCATACACGACACACTCAACACTTTATTCGCTATATATGACACACTCTATACTTTATTTGTGCATTTTTATTGGTTTAACATAGGTCGAGTTGATACTTTTTCAATCAATAAGAAATTAGTAACTAAAAGTAATGGGCTGGTGGAAGCCTCGAAACAAATTCAAAATATAGATGGAAAGTGAATCAAAACATGTACGGATGCAAAGTATATCTCCGTCAATCCCAGGGATTGTGTGGGAGTATCGTGAATGAAATGGAAGAGTTTCATCAATCAACTCAGCCTATTTATCGTTGATCCAAGACCCGTAATGGTTCACAGTTTATAAAAGGAGTTGGTGACTAAAGTCTGCAACTTTCTTTTGAAGGTTAAAGTTTTCGTGACTTCTTTTTGGTGATTGTAATCGCTTCAGTTCTTCTTCAAGTCGCCAAACCAGCCAAATTTCTACACCAGAATTTCTTGCGCTTTAAACAATGACGTCGGGACAAAACTTTAGCATAATGAAGTCCATTTCTAAATGTTGCAAAAGATAACTTTGGCAAGATTATGTAACTTGGCCCCGGAATATTCACGTAAGTCACGCGGGTACTCATGTTATGTGCATGTACGGCGCTCTAATGCACGATCGAACCCAAACCACACTGCACAATTTACATTGTGACAAGTGAGATTACAAGATTTTCATTTTTCAATTCAATCTAAATTCTCTTGTGGCCAATTTTCCCGTCTTCTTTAAGTTTTCGTCTTAAAAGAAAAAAACTGGAAGGCCTGCTGCTGCTCGCCCCCTCATTAGTCTTCCAACAGCAGACTATCTACTGACCTGGCCCAGGGCACACCTAATACGCTTGGCTAATGGCTACCGCTTTACTCCACCTGCCACACGCGCTTATGTGAGACGGTCGTCGGTCTGGCGGAGCATTATACGTGTATACGGTCCCCGAGTCTACTACCTGGAGGCCCTCATTGTATTTCGAAGTTCGACCTACCAACGATTCCAGGTACGGGAAATGGTTGGCCACTTGATTCCTTGCCTTCTGCCAATTCTATTTTTGGGACTCTAAAGAACCCAATTCCGTCATCTTGTATCTACACTTTTTGGCCTCGCCATCCGTTAGTGTATTGAAATTAATTGTTCAAATAGTATTAATCTCAACTTAATGTTCCTCTAAATCTTACTCCGTGCTATTCAATTTACCTTTCGATCATTTACACTTTTACAGGGAACCTGCGAGGGGCGAGGAGATCGGGGATGGTCGGCTGAGCTCTGGATTGGTTGATTTGTTTAGCCATTCTCTCGCCGAACAAAGAATACAATTAGCCATTCCACTTTGCTTGCACCACATGTTAGAGGTTATGAAATAGATTCCTAGCAGCATTCCCGATTTCATTTAGATTCTTTACGGCTTCACGACCATGAGATTTACACCGGCCGCAAATCCGGCCGTAAATTTGTCCGAGACGTGCGAACGAAGGCAGAATCGAAAAAAATTGTTACGAATGGGAGGTTCGGTATTTATATACAATGTTTCGTTCAAATCTGTTCGGAATATCAGAAGAAATTTTTTATTCACTGCAAATTTAAGCACAATACTCGATTCGGGTTCGACCGAAACACTAGACGTAAAAGAAGTTATTGGTTTTATCTTATGGGAACGTGGAACAATTTATATGGAATTTAAGCAATATTGGAATAAACGCATCTAATTGAAATATTTTAATGTGACTTCAAC